AAAGTTTTCATCATCAAAGTTTAAGAAAAAAATCTGTTCAGTGTTTTAATGGTCCAAGGGGTTAGGTACCAAAGCGAGAAATCATCCCCACAGATGTTTCACGATCTTAAAGATGCTGACAGTAATCATATTGTACTGAGAATGATACTCACTTTATTTTCTAAAGGCTTAATATTTGTGGGCCATTCTATACTAAAACAACTTTTTAAAACTGTCAGCCTTATGTTAAATAAATTGGATAAAATATATATTTGATTCTTCTGAAATTTTTTAAATTAGAGTGGTAAAACAAATATTCTTAATATTTTATTTCCTCTATGCAAAGGGGAAATTTTATTTTATTATATTTTTTTTAGATCTTAAATTCATTGAAACATATGATAAAGACTCCTCAACTAGTATCTGGGTATAATTTCGAGAATACTGAATTACTTAGTAAAATAAAAATTGCAAAAAAATTACACATACTAAATATTTGCACGTGAGTTGAACAGTTTTTTTAAAATGGAATATTTTTTGGGTTTTTTTTTTTCAAGAATAAAGCACTTACAAGTTCGTCATATTTTCCTTCAATATCTTAACTTTGTTTCAGCATGAATCAGCCCTACTCAAACTTGTTGTAACATAAACAATCAACAATATTATGATATAATTTCTTAAGAGATTTGTAAGGTGCTCACATGTAAGAGGCGGTAAGGATTGTTAGTCACAAAGCGTTGCATGCGAATAAATTTTCCCAGTAATAATATCGAAGGTTTCTTTATAAATGAAACACTCATACTTCAGTAATTTTACTCTCGTGTGGGAACGTCGGGGTGTTTTTCTACATAAAAAACAAAGGAATGAATATATATTACACATTTTCATTTGATATACCCCGATCATAGAAAATTATGAACTTTAAATAAAGGTTTGAAATAACATTTTTAGAAGCACTGACCAGCAAATCTAGATCTAATATCAACAATAAAATCATTTAAGTTAATGTATTTTAAATAGTTATGAAAACGAATTAATCTTTCCCGGCGGAAACGAGTCCATGTAACTAAATCTTCCCCCTGACGATACCCCGGCTAATACTGGCGATTTGTACATGTTATGATACTGTAACACGATAGCCTCTTTAATCTCCCTTATCTCCTGACGTGAGGGCTATGACAAGCCTCATCAAAATTCTGGGGCCCCCATCGTTTCAGCACCGACAAGAGTTTTTGTGTTAATGACCAGTGCAATCAGCGAGACCTAGTTGATCGGGTTCATGAGTCATAGGTATATTTTGTACCCGTTTTTATTCATTTTGATGCTGTATCACACGGTTCTGTTACCTGTCAGATGCACATGTTTCCAAAGTGTTTACTGGTCAATTATCGAGGGGGTAAATAAACCCAGACAACTGTTACAGTGAAGGAGATCCTTGTTGGTTGAGAACAGACAAAGAACAGAGTGCTGCACCGTTCGGCCACATGCTGACAGAACCCTTCAAGACAGCTTGTTTATAACTTGTATCAATATATAAATAGCCCTTCATTCCGAGTGTACACAATTAAACATTAACGGCGAAGACTTCATATCCCCCGAAAAGAGTGATTAATGGTGTTTTCATGTTTTTTTCACTAATGTGTCGCTGTACTTTCTTTAAAAAAGCGCACCTGTGTGATAACTTTTTGGAGTTTTGGTCAAGGTTTCATCTTCTTAGCTTTGGTATTTGTGTGGTATGAATGGACAGAGAAAAAATATTTGTCTAGTAAACAACCCGACATTTTAACAAATGTCCTTCAGTTGCTACGTCCTGGGGGCGCAGTACTTTGTCTACACCTTTAACTGGACCATGAAGATGCACGGAGCATAGGACCCCTCCGGACATGTCTTTAGAAGGTTTTTAGAGATTTATAGAATGTACTTAAGCACGTGGAAAACATTAAGTAAATCGTCATTCTAGCTGGGCGGTGTCACAAATGAACTAGCTGGAATATTCCCTGCTCAATTACACTATCATCTCCCCTGCTCATATCTATAATTTTACATTGTGCAATGCACATAACACATTATATACCAACAGCTGTATCGTATCGTAGTGGGTAACCTACTTAATTGCGCAGAACATTCTCTAATTCCATTCATTATATTGTTCATATAAAGATTGAATCTACTCGCGGCTATCGTAAAATCTTGAATATTTAATACCGTTCTAGTTGAAAGCTATGTATAAATGTCTTTATTTATAACTGTGGTGTTAGGCCCGGTATGTGCTTTGTTATGTTACAATGTTTCCATTTTCTCGTTCTCATGATTTACAAAGGGGATAAACAAATCAAACCACTTGGTGTTTGATTATTTCAACGTCCATGTATTGATGAAGTTTGCCCACCCCCCTTGAAAAGGTTTTTCAGATTCAGCTAGAGCGCCGATTTACATACATTACCATTAATTGATAAGTAAAATTTCTTACCAGAGATTTCAGTTGAAATAGGATTCACAAGAAACGTGAAAATTAATAATCCAGTAAGGAACATACTCAGGAATCGGAATAAGAAACTTGAAAATCCATCACAAAAAAATATTGAATTGTACTTGACTTCATGTACAAAAAACAACACCAAGGGATAGCCTGCCCTACATTGTAAATGTTATTCTAATTTCCTCAGTCTGACAGGATGAAAAAGATGCATGAAAATAATCAACGCGCGTGCGTCATGACCTTCCTCCCTCAGCATCCAAAACCAAAAGAGGAACTGGTTATCAGCAGACGACCGCTGAAGCGCGCGCTGTAGGTACCGGACACGCACCTTGTTCAGAGACAAGCATCTGTTGGATAAATCGATTGATTTTACAGGACCAACTTTGACAAATAATATTTGACTCGGATAACTAAAAAATGTAGTTGATAAAAATCAAAATGCTTCCGTCCCATTTGATCAGATATACTGAAATTTTTGTTTAATCCTCTTCACCTTGTTTCATTAAAATTTCCTCACACTGACTGTTTAAAAATATGTTTGCAATGTGACACTATACTACTAAGGTTATTTAATTTCTTTTCACCATTTAAAATCACGTCGAGTATTTAGGCACTGTATGCTCACGTTGAGGGGAAAAAAATCTTCGCTAGAGATTAAATCGTTAATTCGTTAATCGATGCTCCGCCTTCTTAAGTCACTGGTACTATTAAAATTTACTTTATTGATTAATATAGGGCTACAAATAAACGGGGCAATTATAGTAGCTAATGTTACACTTAACGTCGATTTTAAATACAGCCGATCATTAGAATAAAGATATATAGGATAAAACTTTATCACTTAAAGTTAATTATTTGAATTTCACCGATTTGTGTTTCTTTTTTTTTCACTGTGTGTAAGCTAGCTGATAGGAAAAAAAAAGGAAAGCAAATAAGTTATGCATGTTATAATCTACAGCATCAGCCCGGTCTCAATTTGAGATTTTCTATGAATTACATGTTAAGTGCATATTACGGTTTACTAAACATATAAAATAAATTATTGAAGTAAATTCATAATTCAAAATAATTTTTTTTAAATAAAGAAATGAAGATAATATCCAAGATGTTGCGACTAGGAAAGAGAGAAAGAAAATACGGTCAAGTTAAAGAGAGAGAGAGAGAAAATCCTGTCAAATTTTCTCCTTCATCTTTATTTACAGTTCCAACATGCCAGCGCAGGTTATCAATTTTTTTCTCCAAGACTCGGAAAATTCCTTTAGCCGTGACAAGTGACAGAGAATATAATGGCGTGTGCTTGATAAACAGTATCAAGCTGCGAGGTATCTTTTTACAAATATTGCAAGGACTATTAAATTTTTCGAGATAGCATCAACAAGTTTTAATCGATATACCAAATACTGCTAAAAAAAAAAAAAAACATAAAATAAAGCTAGACCCTTGTTCAGAAAAACAAGAGCAAATACATTGAGATAATCATTGATTTAGAGGATGCTTATAAATATATGGAACATATATATCTTTCATGGGAAATATATTTATAAAAATGTAAATAATGATAACATGACGATCCTGGTTTTTCAGGCGACAAAGTATTTCCTTGGGACCAAATAAAATCACGTGATAGCCCAGTTACGTTAGATGGCTTCCGAAAGGAGTATATAACTCAATTAGAAGCTGGATGTTTCAGCATTAAATCACCATTTCAGGACAGAAGGTGATGCTGGATTAGAAAGTAAATGTCTGTGAAAAAATTCCATTACTGATTTAATTCTGTCATCTCTTTAAAAGCTAGCTTTACGAAAGATTTACAAAAAATCGATTTTTGTCTTCTCTCTGTAAAACGATTGCTCAAAGAGCCGTTTACTATCTGTGATAAATGATAGATCGTTTTTATATTATTCCCTAAACCTCTATCTTTTTTTCATGTTGATTTTTTTTTTTTTTTTTTTTTTTTTTTTTTTTGCCAACTTCCTTCCAAAAACAGTAACTGCTGATCCTTATAAATGTCGATGTGTCCATGAAAATTAAAGCTGTATATGGCGTATCTGAGCTAAAACATAAAAATACGAGACCGATTTTGAACTTGAATAACTTCATGTTTCCATAGTAAATTGACTTTAAACTGTGTTATTCAAATGCGGAGTTGGTAAATAAATCGGTTATTGTTTTAAATTTCTAATATCTTTGAAACATGATTGATTTCAATATTGTGTAATTTACAGGAAAGTCCTATCATAAAACATATAGAAAGATCTTTTTAACATGATTTTAGTTAGTCTGAACTTATAAAAAAAAATACGCCATATATGACTTTAACAGTGTTTAATGGCAGCACATGCACTTGTAAAAATCTTATTAGTAGTAGTATTTTAAGTATACTATGTAATTTAATTAAATAGTGTATGCGACACGTTTTTACAAAGTTCTTCACTTTTAACCATAAGAACGATAACTCAAATTTGACCTTGAAACGATCGCTCTTTCGAGAAAGAGGTGAAAAGATATACAAACTTATTATGGACGCTTTTATGAATAATGAAGAAGTAACCGAGAGACAATAATATACGAATGCTGAAATGAATACGTGTTCCTCTTTTATTCATTTATTTGTTTTATTGTACAGCACAAACGCGGCTGCCTATAGTGGAGATGAAACTTCCCCTGCAGGAAACCACTGTGTCAACTACACTAGAAATCATGGTAGGCAAATGTCAAAATTCGAGACAATTGAAAAGTAAGCTTCATTTTTTAAAAATCTTAATTGAAGTGGATGTGCGTTACACTCAATAAAGGTAGATTTCTTTTCCTATATTAGAAAACCAAACTGAATGCACTTTGTGTTTCTTTCCACAAAACTGCTTGACCAACAACACTTGTAAAGAAGGGACCAAAGGGAATACATGTGAACAGTGCACCTCTAGTTCTGAAGGCTATGCTATAAGTATGTATAATTCATGAATTTTAAAGATACAATCTGTATTTAATACAAAACAATTTATTTTTTGAAAACTTTCTTAATTTCTGAACAACATAAAGATCAAACAGGAGGTAAATATTTGTAATGTAGGCTATTAACAAAATTCAACAAACATTGTTTCACTTTCAGACAGTTATAGAATAGGGAATACCTGTATTTCGTGTGAGGCTATGCCAGTGACCACTGTTGCATTTGGAATTTATGTCATACTTTTCATAATGGCAGTCATTACAAATGGATTCAGTGGCTCTCTCTGTACAAAGGTAATAATTCCTCACACATTTTGAAAACCCCAGACTTTTTCAATACACGATGTTTTCCTGAGAGAATGGTTTAAAAAGATAGATGACATATATGTTTATTTTATTTACAGCTCAAAGTTATATGCCATTTTCTCCAGATGCTGTATCTGACATTTCTCATCAAGATCCAATGGCCAGTGCTTATTCAGAAAACAGTGATGAGTCTGGCATTTGTTACCTTCAATTCCAATATTATCCCACTTAGTAAGAAATGTCAAACCTTTGTCTAAAGAAGTAATTTATGACTTTGTTTCCACTGATATACATAATGATGTTTTGACATAAACCAATCACAGTGGTAAAGAATAGTCATTACTTGGGACCACCAATAAAGTCAAATGAACATTTTCCTTTCTAATCAAAGCTCTTGACATTTTTTCTGTTGATAACATGTATACATAAAAATACAGTGGTTAAAATAGAGTAAAAGATGATTTTATCAAATTTAGAATGTGTCCTTTTGTAATGATTGGTGTCATGGTAGCATTTAATTGATAGAACTGGGGTGGGGTGGGGTGGGGGTGGGGCTTTCTATATCATTTTTCTACATAACAAAAAAAAAAATGTATGTTTATGAAATCAGTTGTATGATATAGAACACACAATCCATCCCAACGCCCTCATCCTGACACCAGAAAGTCAGCTATGGATCTAAGATTATTTTTGTTATTTACAGAATGTTTGATACCCTCTCTCTCTTTCCTAAGTATCCACTACCTAGAGTGGACCAGCTCCTTCCTGATTGTGATCATTATTATCCTCATTACATTTCTTGTGGACAGGAGTCTGGTGAGTCTGTTTATTAAGCCCCTCGGTCAAGGAACATTTATTGATCAATGATCATCATAACTTGACCAGATGTAAGAGATTTAGCTTGAGTGTGATGGTTGGACCAGAAGTTATTTATGACAAAGAGGGCACTATGAACTTGTTTGCAAATAATTACGTACATACTATAGTAAATCACAATAATAACTTTATATTACTAATATGAAAGGTATTCACTGACATTTTTAAATCTTCATAAGTACCTGTAGAAGTACAGTAATTTTATTTTATTGAATTTTGAACAATTTCTGACAAAATTTTATTAAGAGACTGTGAAATATGCCATTCAACCTTTCTGAAAAAGGGATCATATGTTCACCTTTTTTCAATTTACCAAGTGAATAAAAATTCTGCTATTTGATAAAATATTAGGATAATCAGAATCTATTTATTAATCATATCAAAGAGTTTTTCTTTAAGATAATTTTTTTTTAAATATCTGTAAATGAAAAAGAAAAGTTTAGACAAAAACAGGGAAATTAATATACTATTCTCTTTACATGTATTTATCTATGCATTCTGTAAATCAGATGCAAATTCATTTCAAAACGGGGGACCTAAAACTATAATGACAATCATTAATTTCTATTTCAGCAGGGTACTACTATTCAAAACAAAACTGGTAAGGTCAGAAAACAGAAGAAATGGCATTATCGTGTGACTTTCTTGAGGATGATGTTCTTTGTGACAGTAGCTATGTACATGCCCATTACTTTGTCCGTGGCCCATAGTTCACTCTGCTCTGGAATAATTCCTGCTGTAAGTGTAATTCTAAAAATTTAGAAGATAAAACGGCGGGGTGACCTGTCGACAAGGGATGCTTACTCCTCCATGGCACCTGATCCGACTTAGATGTTTTTAGAGGTCCATGTTTGCCCTGCTCCCATTTTGTATTGTTTCAATCAACTTTTGAGCTTGATTACTGTTTGTTATCACCATATTTCATTGCAAAGCTATCTGTCAATTGCAAATTTCACAAATGTCTATGCTCTAGTATTGATTCACTTTAATGAGTTAGAGGAAGTGGTTACAACATTTTTGGTCAGTGTATTGTACACTGCATGGGATTAAATTACACTACATGTATGTACCCAGTAACAAATTTCCTGCAGAAATTTGTCACAGCTAGTGTACTTTCAAGATTTTTAAGACATAACATGGGAATCCAAGAAATGGGCATAATTTTATGCCCACAGATTATACCGAAATTGGGATTCCGCAGAATCGTCTGACCTGTGGAAAAAGGTATATGTTTACAGTAATTAAAAGTGTGATCAGTGATGTGAGATAATGTAAATTTTTATTTATAAAAAATTCATATGCCTTTCGTATGAGGCCCAGAAAGCTACATTTATGCCCATGCAGTGCAACTGAATAAGGAGCGCTTAATACATAGAGCATCGTGGTTGAAATGCCTTTGAGTCAAATGTTACATTGAGAAAGTTAAAATGTTCAAAGAGTGTACCTGATTTGTCAAGAGATGAGGAATGAAAAGTTTAGCATATGGAACAATTATATTTTTTTGTCAAAGTTTTATTTTCTTTACCTAGAAAGTCACACTAAATGCAGAAGAAAATGTGTTTTTCTACCTCCAAGAAGAATCTTGTGACCAGATTATATTCCAGGTACTTGTCATTTAGATATCAAGTTGATTTAATAATGATTGGTTTGGTATTGTGAAAAAAATATAATTTTTTCTAAATATGTTTTTTTTGTAATAATTCTTGACATTTACCTAGAATGTTAAGCTGCTTATTTTATCAGCAATTATTTCAGTTAAATGTGTCAAGGAAACACTGATGTCATAAAAATGTCATGTTTCCCTAGGGACTATTCATTATAACAATTTAAATTGTAAATGACAACAACAAAAAAGAATATATGGACCATATGTGTCAATTAAAGGGTAACAAACATTCAAACAAAAAAAGTAAAAAAAAAAAAAATATCTGCACTTGATCTAGATAATTTGACATTACACAAAAGATTTGCATAACTGAAATTCTGTAATATGTCATGAAGAAAATTGATCATATGTCAAGGATGTATATTTTAAATTGGGGGGGGGGGGGGGGGGGGCTACTTTGATGAACTTTAATGCACAGATAATGTTTTATCATTTTATTGCAGAATATTCAGTTTATCGGCACCATTTTCCTGATATTTTATGTTCTTCTCTTTCCTGTTCTAATCGTCTTTATATCACTGAGGCAGAAGAAATGGAAATTATTGTCAAAAGTTAATCAGGTGAACAGGTAATTCTATGTCACATGCACTATTGTATCAGGGGCTCAGTTCCTCATTTTCCTCACAGCATGTTTCCAGGGATAACGGTATTCACAGCTTATATACTCCATGGAAGGGATAAAGCAGAGGTTTCATTGATTTTAGAAACCAAAAAAATAAAATATTTCCTGACTATAATTGAAAGCCATGAAGAAGAAACATACAATTCCCTCCTACAATTAATTTATAGAAGTATGGAAATGCAATACATTAGCCAGTAGTTAAAGCCCTAATATATATATATTTATATTTATTTATTTATATATATATATATATATATATATATATATATATATATATATATATATATATATATATATATATATATATATATTAATTATAGTTTTCCTCTCTCTCTCTATTGTTTTAAACTTTTTCTTTCATATTTTTATCATATAATGATGTATTTCACATCACTAAGAATGTTTTGACTGGTTAATTCCAGACCATTATACGAGTCATATCACCCTCGGTGCTGCTTTTGGGAAGCATTTCCAATGATCCGAAAATTAATCAGCATATCAGTCACAGATATTTATCCACTAAGGTAATGACAGACATGTCATAAGAATGTTGATGAAGGTTAAACGTAAAGTGTAAAATATTAATCTCATATTATTTTATTTGCTGGTACATCGCTTCTTTAGAACTTAAATAATCAAAAATTCTTGGTTAAGATGTTTCAGAACACTTTACATCTGCACAGATTTTTAGTTAAGGTTCTTTTAAATGTCAATATTTTTTCTTTCAATTTTTGGCCTTTTCACCTCTGAAAAAATATATTATGTATAAACATTTTATTTCCAAACAGTTTATTATTGATAAATAATGTTAAATTGGGGAATGTTAAGATAAATTAACCTTTACTTGCATCAGTTGTGTTTCAGTATCGTTTTAGATTTAGTCATGTACTGATAGGTTTTTGCAGTACAAGTTATATTTAACTGAAAAACTTCCTATGCATTCATGGAAAAGTGATAATAGAATATTTTTAATTGTTTAAAAGCAGAATTTTATGAAAATATTGACATTATAGTCAGACTCCTATCTATTGAGTGAAAATTTGTTTATTTCTGAAAAATTGAAATTAATTTTTTTTTTCGGATATTTTATTATGTTTTATTTCTAAATATAATTAAATTTGTTTTTTTTTTCAGTATTTTCATACAGTGCTTGATTCAATTGTCAACAACCAGTGTATATTTCATTCTCCTCATTCTACTGAGGCCATACAGGTAAACTAAAATGAGAATGTAGTCAATTTCAAGTTATTCAGAGTAAAAACACAGGGATTATCAGAACATGGGGGGGGGGATTTTAAAGCTGCTCTAAACTAATCTTGCAATGCCCCAAAGCACAATTAATCTCAGAAATTAAATTTCATTTAGAACTACGTACATTGTACATTATACACAATTGTGAAGTATTCAGACAATTTTCTTCCAAGTTCATAAATGATTTATAACCATAAGATTAGCTAAACTCTAAATTACACATAATACTAATATGAACTAAAGGAAAATACATATTTTGTGATGTGAGATGGAAATTATTCATAAATTTCACCAAGAAATCCATATTCAAAAAGCATTAATATCAGTTGTTTATATTGTTGTGGCACAGGGTAGTCTAAGATGAAATACCCTTCAGATGTTTAAAAAGATTTTGAAAACCTCCTCAGAAAAGAGGAGTGGGTTCATACAATGAAATTTATACTTAGTAATGATGTAAATGGCCCAATATCTCATCCTGATATGAAGATACATTGACATGAAGCATCAAAATCTGCAAGGCACAGGAACATGGTTTGGTTTAATTCATGTAAGGATTAAATATTTTCGGATGCACAACTTGTTTCAAAGCAAGCCGCTATACTTAAAAACATCAGTCAAACATTTTTTACTGCTAGAATGAAACTGTCTCGGCTTGTTGGGAGTAGGACCAGGTTCCTACCATGTTACATCTTTTTTATGCTCACATGTGAATAACTATTTATCTTTCTTTGATTTTTGCCAGGTCAGTTGTATGGGGTAGCAGAAAAACGGAGATCCACACATTTTTTGAGGTAAAATTTTTTAGGTAAAACTATTTATCATGATTCCTTTTGTTAGAAAAATTTGATGGAATATCTAGTTTCAACATCAGTTTGAGGCATAATGTACCAGCTACAATAAAGCTTCTTTTGATTTTCATATCCCTATAGTCGGAGATTTATAGGGGCATAGATTTTTTGGTATGTCCATCCGTTTGTCTTCAGCTTGTCTGTTAATCTGTTTGACCGTTTGTTCACAAAAACTTTAACCTTGCCCACAACTTTTGAATGGTTGGTGCTAGGGCTTTCATATTTCACAAGTGTATTTCTTGTGACAAGACCTTTCTTTGGGTACCAACATATTTGACCTCTTGACCTTGACCTTGGAGTTTGACCTACTTTTGCAAACTTTTACTAAACTTTAACCTTGGCCATAACTTTTGAACAATTGGTGCTAGGGCTTTTGAATTTCACATGTGTATTTCATGTGAACAGACCTTTCTTTGGGTTCCAACATTATTTACCTTTTAACCTTGACCTTGGAATTTGACCTACATTTGAAAAACCTTTGCCATAGCTTTTGAACGGTTGGTGCAAGGGCTTCCAAATATCACATGTGTACTTCTTGTGACTAGACCTTCCCTCGGATACCAACATTTTTGATTTCTTGACCTTGGCCTTTGAGTTTGACCTATATTTGTAAAAAATTTAACCTTGCCTATAACTTTTGAACAGTTGGTGCTAGGGCTTTCATATTTACAAGACCTCTCTTTGGGTAGCAACATTTTTGAGCTCTTGACCTTGACCTTGGAGTTTGACCTACATTTGAGAAACTTTACCTTCTCCATATTTTGTAAATGATTGGTGCTAGGGCTTTTATATTTCTTGTGACAAGACATTTCTATGTGTATCAACATTTTTTTAACTCTTGACCTTGGAGTTTGACCTACATTTGAAAAGTTTTAATCTTGGCCTTGTTCTTCCATATGGGGGCATCAGTGTTTCACAAACACATCTTGTTGAAACTGTTGATCACGAAATGTTCGCATCAGCTTATTTTTGCGAAAAAGTTATTTGGGATATATAAGCAAGAAAATGTTTTCATGAATGTTGGTTATTTTTGTATAGAATCTCCAGGTTAAAATATATGCAAGAATGAAATTTTCGCAATCAATCGGTCTTGTGAAATTTCTCTCGAATAAAAAGTGATTTACGGTACCAGAAAGTAAAATATATCTAAATTGAACAAGTCACAATATTGCAGATAAAAAATGAATACCTTTAACAAAAGTTGTTTGGTTTTCTATAAATAGATATTGTCAACTCTGACAGTAGGTTTGATGCAGTCTTTACCCCTCCTGATGACCCTGGGAACAAACACCCCCACCCTAGAGTATCTGATTCTCGGTTGTATTGGATTGACACTGTTAATAGGAGTGATCATGATTTTTTTGACTCCAGTGGAAAAAGAGGAAGGGGTAAATTCATCTTAAATTCATGTTTCTAATGCCTCACACTAGCTGTGTAATTAATATTTTAAAAAAACACAATGAAATAAGCCAGCTTTGAGTTTTCTTCACCTTTTGCATTAAAAATATGATTACATGTAGAAAAATTAGAAATTCAAGAATATGTCATTAAATGACCTTTTTTTTTTTAATTCTCTATGCATTATTATTATAATATCATTACTAGTTCAATACTATATATTCACCAAATTTTGACTCACATTTTTTTTCATCACCTTTTTTTTCATTTTAAAGATAACTCCATCAAATGGAAACCTAGGCTCTTCTAGTGAAAGTCTGCATTCTCGACACAACAAAGTGGCACCAGCCCCCATTACTTACGAAGAGGTCATTCAAGAGAGGAGGAGACATTTAGAATTTTAGAGGATTTACACTCATTTAGAATAAAATGTTTACACACAAAGGCATGTTATTCAGTACATGTATTTCCAAGACACTTGCTGAAAATAATGAACAACTGATTTATTTGTTGTGCTTATTTTTTTCTTCAATAAATTTCAAGTTTCTTCTTGTGTCAATCACATTTTAACTTGTCAGTTTTTGGTTTGGTGAACATGAGATTTTAACTTGTCAGTACATGTATATAGTCAGTATTTAGTTTGGTGAACATGAGATTTTAACTTGTCAGTATTTAGTTTGGTGAACATGAGATAATAGGGGTGTGCATGCTGCAGAAGTAATTTGATTTCTAGTATAAAAATAAACTTTTTTTCAGGACTTACATCCACATTTCTAAAGACCATATATTTACGTGCACATTCAGTTGCCATTAATTTTGGTAATTATTCTTCATTTTTCATAGTAAGGGCCATCTTTAAAAAAAATTGTTTGTATATATGCTCTCTCCCAACCAACTGGCTAAAAATGACATGACTCATTTTTTTTTTGAACTTCCAGGAAACAATAATCATCCTGTCAACAACTTTTTTAATTTTATTATTGCCTTCAATTTAAATAGATTTCAAAAATTTAGCATTGATGTTAAAAATTTCCCACCTACCTACTGACCCAATTTTTATACCCCACGCAACAAGTTGCGGGGGGTATAATGTTTTTGACCCATCCGTCAGTCAGTCATTCCGTCAGTCCTGTTTTTTTTTTTTTGTCAGTGCAACTCCTCATAAACCACTGCACAGAATTTCGTCAAACTTTACAGATATTTAGGACACAATGTGTAGATGTGCATATTACCAGGAAATTCCGATTCCTTTATTTTTCTGGGAATTTCGGCACTTTTCAACTTCGATTTTTGGCCATATCTTGAATATAGAGATGAACAGTTTGTCAGCGCAACTCCTCATAAACCGCTGCTCAGAATTTCGTCAAACTTTGCAGATATTTAGGACACAATGTGTAGATGTACATATTACCAGGAAATTCCAATTCCGTTATTTTTCTGAGAATTTTGGCACTTTTCAAGTTAGATTTTTGGCCATATCTTGAATATAGAGATGAACAGTTTGTCAGCGCAACTCCTCTTAAACTGCTGCACAGAATTTGGTCAAACTTTGCAGTTATTTAGTACACAGTGTGTAGATGTGCATATTATCAGGAAATTCCGATTCCATTATTTTTGCTCTAAGAGTTTTGCCTATTATTGAAGAAACTTTCCAGCTAGGTAATAAGGAAATCCACTGGAATCAGCTTTTGTAATGAAATTTTATGTGAAATATTTTATGACCTTAAAAGACCCCTATTTATTTGGAGATCAAAATATTAATGATTTAACACACACACACAAAATCTTCAGTTCTCAACACCCCCCCCCCCCCCCCCCATCAAATTAGTGCTTTACCTTAAATAATTTCATAAGTACAGTATATAAACAAATTCATATGACTACATCATTATTTTGTTTCCATCAATTATTTCAATGTGTAAATTGTCATGTGTTGGACATGGACTTGCATTCATTAACAAATCGAAATCACTGAGGAATTTAAATAACAGTTTGTCAGCATAACTCCTGCACTGAATTTCCTGAAACTTAGTAGGTATTTCAGACATAATGTATAGATTTGTATATTACCAAGAAATTTTGATTCCATTATTTATCTAGAAACTTCAGCCCAATTAAATTTGTAACATACAAAGATTTGAATGTCCTTATTTGCAAGAAGTTTTGATGTGATGATTTTTTGCAAGTAATGCCCCTTTTTGAATTATACTGTGTATTTAAAATGCACTGTGCCATTCATTACGTGTTGCTTTGTCAAGTTTTGGGGGAGCGTGGGGTATGTGAGCTTGCTCACTTTTTCTTTCATTTTATACTGAGTCGTAAGAGAGCAAACAAACATTATTTTAAAGATGTCCAAGTACACATAAAAATAAATGAATTGTGTATGAATCACTACAAACACACAAAGATGATGTTAAACATTCTGACAATAAAGTTATGAAATGTATGATAAAATTTAGAAGATATATATTTTAATAATAAGTCAAAATAATTTAAATTAAAAAATTCAAATGTTGCCAGTATTAAATACCTCTTTTACATTTGAAATTATGCAAGATATTCATTTTGAATCACTGAGAGAATGCGTGTGCAAAGATCATAACTCCCATAAACATGTTAACAAATACATTTCCTTAAAAATGTTTTTCTTGATAGATCTGACATTCTTGTTTAAGGTCGAAAAATATTTGTGGAGATAGATTCCTGGGACCCTGGCCACCAATATCAACATTTTAACCTTTTAGCACATTCATATGACATAACCAATCAATTTTCTCACCACTAGAAATGTAATGCAAGATCTAGTGATAAAAATATGACAGACAGACAGGAAAAGGCATCAGCAATGTATCCTTTAGAAAGTGTGGTATATATCTGGTCAGTTTGGATGTTCCCTGTCATCACTTCCAATATCTAACAAGATATGACTGTGGTTTAACTAACAGACAAAATGTATGATTGTAAGCAAATAGTTCAAAAGCAAAAAAAAAAAAACCAAATAAGTAACAAATACTCATTCAAGTATATTGCATAGAGATCGTAATATAATTTTCCAGTTGTTATGGCATCGAAAGCTAATTAAGTATTCATCCTTAAAAAGGGTGGTCAATGTACAACTTATATCCACTTGGAAAAAGGTCTGTGCAAAGATTTAGCTTTGATCATTCATTTCTTAAAAGGAAGTTAAATACTGCATGACCCAATTATGTTTAATTGAATCCATTCTTACTGGCATTATCCAAGCATCATTGAAAATGAATTCTAAATACATAATATATACATGTACTTGAAAATGAAGTACAACTACTCTAAAACCTAAACTATTTACTTCTGAAGATGTAGTGATCAGATTAAAAATCTTGTTGCAGGTTTACATATTTTCAAGGAGGCTATAATTCTTGCACTGATCAGACTTACATTATGAGGAGGATATTTTTTGCAGAAAATTCAGTCCAAAGTAACTTGATATGTGCTATCTTGACCAATATTGCACACTAGTTCCATCTAGAAATATATACTATCACTCAAACTAAACATCTATTAATTGAATCAAATTCTTAAAACCCATAGAGTTCTTATGATAAAGAATCACACCCTTCTTGGTCATTCTAAGGCTGGGGCAAAGATCAGATTCCATAATCTTATTGCATACTAAGTACCATTGTAGATTTTTTTCTTTGCTACCACTTAACATATAGTGGGTGTTTTTGGACATGTGTATAAACATCCCTGGTAATTCCTAGGAACCATAATTCAATATCCAGTTGGACTTCTTCAGGACCAGGCTTATCAAATGCAAGAAGAATTATTTAGACACCCTTGAAAATGGAGAAGCAATGACAAGACAGTGTGACAGATGCATATGGATGGACAATATGCCCAAAAGTGTAGGTGTAGTAAATGGCCTCTTCCCCCTGCACTGTATTGAAACATGTGTGGTGTTATGAAGTTGATCAGAAAATTTGTCATTTTGATATACATGTATTTCTCCCAAACTTCAGCTAAAACTATTTGAAATCTTTTCCAGAGTTGGCATTGTACAACTTTTTTGAAAAGGAACAATCCGAGTGACACTTTTTAAAGGAGAGAAATCCAATACTAGTAGTGCAAAGACAGCTTGATTTTTTTTTAGAAATGACAATGAAAATACATTTTGTTTAAATACCCTTAGTTGGGGTCACTTGTCAGTTTAAGGCACTTTCAGAACATGCATATGAATATTTTTCACATCTTTCAGAATAAATTCTTAACACCCCCCCCCCCCTTCCAAAAAAAAAAAATCCTTCTGAATCTCTTCATTATCCAAATTAAAAAAGAGAACAAAATGATTACAGCATCTCAATGATTTTTAATGGAGAAATTGTTTATAATAAACACATCCATTATAAATAATATTTCTGTTGAACAGAAAACATATGTAAATGTTAATGTATTGTTACATTTAATACATACATCTCTTTAAAACTCTGATATTGTTTTTGATACCTAATGGTAACATTTTCATTAATACATATATACTAAATTAAAACAAACGGATGATTAGTGTGTAGCTTCTGCTAGCATTAAACAAAAATCATAACCCTTCAACTAGGAAATACTATTAATTTGACAACGGTAAGGAGAAATTAAAAATGATGACAATTGATTGTGGTACATATCTGTTTTTTGATAGGACAAGTGTTTATGGTTCCTTTAAAGGATATTTAAAACTCTGTTCATGAAGCAATTACCTTTCAAAATGCATATTATAGGGTACAAGTATTGCAACCAACTAAATGCCCCAACTTTGGTTGCCTTCTTAATCTGATAAAACTATGGTTATATTTTTGGTATAGTATTAAAGGATTGTCTAAGAAATATAGACTTTTTTTTTATTTGTCAAACTCTGCATTTGAAAAAAATAATTTTCACCAATCTCTCTCTCTTTCCTTTTTTTTTTAATCTAAATCTTAAATTTATATAAAAACAAAACTTTCCTGAAATCTAAATTGAGCTGCCCCATATGATTTTAAAAGTTTTAATTCTAAATGGGTGATATAACTTCAACCGGGGGGAGAACATTTTTCTTCCTAGATGACTAAAAAAGTTACATGCTTAAAAAAAGAACACACATACAGATATAATTTTCCCTTACACACAGATGAATAATTATATACTTAATGATTGTATACGATAATCACATTTCTGAAAGCACCTTCTCTGTGCATTATAATCAAAGACATTGTTATAAAATGACTGAAGTGCAATCAGGTTAGAAAGAAAATGAAAAAAAAGGATTAGAAAGAAATTTAGAAATATGAAAAATAAAAACACACTTATTTGAAAATGTGCATTTTAATTCCTCCTCCTATAAAATTCAAGGGGCACTTAACTTTCTACAGAAGACTCATTTTCTGAGCTTCTTTTTTCTATTTCATAAATCTGTACACACATTTTGAAACAATATACATGTATTTCACGAAAGAAGACATATAAACAGTAAAGTTTTGTAATTGTTAAATAATCTTGAAGTTAAATTCTTTAATTACGTATTTACAAATTGTCATTATTTTTGCTAATGCAGCACTTTCTTTACTTCATGAGATGCCTACTGTCCCTGATCCCAGCCTGGGACACATTCTGTACCCTCATACTTGACTTGACCATAGACAGAATTTCAAAGCTTATGTAGGGGGGGGGGGGAGATAAAGACAGGGACAGCCAGTTAGACAAAGAGAAGGAACAGAAACAATATCTTCCCAGATCTTCAATATCAAGACATAACCCACCCCACCCCCCACCCTCAATTTCCTGTATAAAAAAAAATAACCAATAAATTCTTGACATTCCTTAGTCAAGTCTTTAAAAAAGGAATAAAATCAATTTTAGAATATAAAACTTCATCCTCTGTAACAAAAAAATATCAATATCTTTCAACAAAATATAGATGGCACTTTTTCTCTCTGAAGAATGTCTTAGCACTACAGATGGCTTTTAACATTGTACAATTTAAAATTGAATCTGTCAGCTCTCTACTAATTCCTGCTCGATTATTTTTGTCCATGATTGAGTAACTTTTCCTGATCAACAAAATATACCAGTAAATAAATGATTTTCAACATCTCAATATGTACACACTCCAATGGAATGAAATTAAATCTCAAAAAATATATTTATTTGCAATGTAATCTGCCCATGAAAAATGACTCTGCCAAAGGACGTTCAAGATAAAATCAAATTGCTATAAATTGTTATTAATATTGCATCATCAATCTTGTGTGCGATACTTTTTGTCGTTTATTGGTGTACGATGTGGCATAATGACCCCCGATGCCCTGTGAATGTTGTCCCACGTACTCCCCCTCCGGACTGGGCTCAGGGGCAGGTAATAAGTGACTGTAGCTTCTCTTCTGACCTTGTGGGGTCTTCTGAAATTTAAAGCAAGTTCATTATTGACTGGTGTAAAACTACATGTACATGATAAAAATCTATTTTTATTTATAATACCCATGTCATTGTTCTCTTACTTACCAACCTGTGACCTACTTAAATGAGATACTGACAAACCAACTTTTATTTGTGAAATATATGCAAATTTCGCAATATTTTTTGACTCGCAAACATTTATCCCCATGAAACATTCATTTGCATGAAACTTGCATGTAATTTCTATATAAAATGTTTCCTCTGTCAAAAAAATTGCACTGATGTATCATAAATAGAAGAGTCAAATAATTGTTGGTTTATAGTTGATTGTGTGTTGTTTTATGTCCCATTCGAGAATTTTTCACTCATATAGAGACGTCACCATATACCGGTGAAGGGCTTCAAATTTTGACCTTTACTTGGCACTTAGGGCCATTGAGCAGTGAGGGATCTTTATCGTGCCAATGCCTGCAGTGACACGGGGCCTCGGTTTTTAAGGTCTCATCCGAAGGACCCGCAACTTTCACTTCAAAGTGCCGAGCGCATGGCAAAGGAACAGTTGCTACACATTTTTTATCAACTTAGGTCAGTCGCGGCCGAGATTCAAATTCACGACCTCCCCATCACGGAGCAAGCGCTCTACCGACTGAGCTACCGTGAACGTAGTTGGTTTATAGTATTAAATGGATATACCAAAGTATATATCATTACATGTACATGTAGATAGATATAATAAAGCAAGTTTGTCTGTCCTGAAAGCCTGATGTGTATAACTTGTCACATGTATTTTTATTATATGTCTGTATACCAGTAAAGGTTGGTTATCTGCCCTTGATGTACCAGGAGGATGTATTGGTTCTTTATATGACTGGGACGGTGCTGAAGGTCGATGGTAATAATCTACAGTCTGCAAAAATAAGACATCATTGTTACAGCACAAAAACTTATCAATTTTAATGCATGAATATACATCATTATTTGTGGGGGAATAATGTTCAGGGATTCTGAGGGTCATCAACAACCAGGAATTTACATCCCCACAAACAATAACTGTCAATGCATCTGATCATTGAATCTTTATTACAACCAAATTCAAATTTTTTTTGCCCACCAACATCAAAATGATTCCACAGTACATTAAATTGGAATAAAAGATGTAAAGAACTGTACAATTATACAGTTATACTTTTGCAGAATTTGTGCACACTTTTGAGGGGAGTGGTTCCACTGAGGATGAGCTGTGAAGGTGAAGTGGTTCGTAGCTGGACTGAGGGGAAGTCACTGAGTGATGAGTGGGCGTTGCCTCTGTGTGTCCTCTGTAACTGTAATCGGCACTACTGTAGCTGTACGAGTCGTCGTAATCCTGACCCGATACACTGCCGTAACCTGAACTGTAAGATTCGTCCTGTCCGCTATAACCATGGTAACTGTAACCAGTCTGGTTGTAAGCTGCGTAAGCTGCTGCTTTAGCTGCTATATCCTGGTAATGCTGGAATTTAATTAAATGGTTTCAATATGTAAGTGTAAATTTTGCTTTTTATTTTATTTTTTTTTTTTACTACCGGTAATATACGAGACTGTTGACTCACAAATAGCTCCACTACCTCAGGTTCACAATACCACAAGTTCACACTATCACAAGTACAAGTTCATGCAAGCAAAATCCTGATAATGGCATCTTCAAGTAGTGTCTATATACAAATTACTGTAAAATTTTTGTATGTTCAAAACGTTGTGATTTGGGGTAAAAATGTTGGTTTGTAGGGAATTCATTTCATGGTTAAAGAAGTGTGGCCTTGTCTTGAATAAAATGTTTACACTTTGTAGAGGACATGAATTCAAGGTTCTCTTCATACCACCAAAACAACAAAAATTAAACCCACCTGAAATTTAGTGATTTCACAATACAAATAAACTCATTTAATTTCGTGAAAGGGGGGGGGGCAATTAGAAAATTACTACAGGAAAGGGACAAAACTCTTTTCAATCAGTAACTTGTGATTAAAATATTTATGAATTAAATGTAATGATCCATGCATACTTAATCTTAATCTAAGAACTTTTTTTTTAATTATGTATTAATGTTATCTATAGAAATGCTTTTATTTCCAAAATAACAAAAAGTACAGGGTTTGACATTTACTTTTTTGATGATGGACCCATATATTTGATTCATTGACTAGACTATATATACATGTCATAGTTTATGATAACAAAGAAAACATTGATGTGAGTGGCAGCTCCTCATCCTCTTTCTTTGCATTTTAATTAGACTTTTCTAGATCTTTCTAGACATTTTTGAGAAAAAAATATTCAGGCAATTTTTATACACTATAAACAAAAGCCATCATTTCCTGTTCTTGATGCTTTTTTCTAACAAGAAGATTATTTTTTCAAGATAGAGCCATCTTAAGTTTCACATAGTTCTGTGAACTACTATTCACCATCAGATTTTCTTGTGTAGGGTACAGTACTGTGTATTTTTTGAGTATGGAGTGAATTTGGTTTTGTTTTTAATTAACAAGGTACTGACTTAATTTACACACAGTTTAATTAATCTGAAACCCGATGCTGTGTTTATGCAGAAAATTACAATAATTATGAATTTGAGAACTACTGATTTTACCTGATCATGGTTGTAGTTATAACTTTCTTCCAAATAATCATATGTACTTCCTGGATTCTGCAAAAATAAATACAAGGAATGAAGATGAACCAAATGTATTTGACATATTCGTTAGAGTACAGGTACATTTGCAGCATTAACTTTGTTTGATTCTGTTATTATGATAATTCTTTTATTATATTGATTCAGTTATTATAATAAAAAATGTTTACCTGATAACTAGAACTATAATATCCTCCATCATCCTAAAATATATAGAGAGAGAGGATTAGTTGGCACTTCTTAATAAAAACCTGCTTTTGCTCAAAATGTTTTCAATCATCTTGATTATGGGACAGCGAATTGGGGGGAGGGGGGGGGGTTAAACCTACCCTGCTGTATCCATAGTATTGATCGTATTCACTTGGTTCTCCATTTCCTCTCTGCTTAAATATAGAAAGATATTTCATTACCATTCATTCTCTATAAGAAATTGCATGGATACATTGGGATTTGTAATTTACATCTTTTAGAAATCAACATGATGTATATTGCCCAGAATTTCACCTGAGTATCAGGCAGCAACTTTTCAGAGACACCCTATTTCTTGTCTTCACAATTCGTGAACTGTGAATCCATTGTAAATCAACTTGACAATACCTGTGGATTTCTTTGTTGAGTATGTGTAGCATCTGGATTTGGCAGCAGGCCTCCAGTTTTTGGTCTAGTTCCCCAGCTGTGCATCAAGTTCTGAGGAGGTTCTCCCAACAGGGATTGTTTCACATCTCCCTCTTGATTGGGCTGACTGGCAAACAAACTTTTCTTTGGTGGTTGCCCTCTATGCACTAATCCAAGAATTTCTGGTGGAGCTGCCCCAAGCAATCCCTCTTTTGAATTTTTTATTGTCAAATCCATGAGAGGAGTAACTTCCCCTGGGGTGCAGCCAAGATCATGACCTAATTGCACAGCAATCTGTCCTATATTTGTAAGGCCACTGACATCAATGTTCTGTAGGTTTTGTGACACGGACAATAACATTGAACTGATATCAGAACCCGAATATGGCTGATTTGGTTTACCGGGGGACAGTTTAGACAGTAGACTCTGGAGGATAATGTTGGACTGAGAGGCATATGGATCCCCCAACAATGATGGCTTCTCTGCCTGAAATTAGGGAAAAGAAAAATTACCAGTTGAGTAAGACATCCAAATTCAAAAATCAGTCTATCTCTTGAGTTCTACAAAGTCCTCAATAAAAGAATAAGAACTGTTCTTTCATACAAATTTTAATTTCGTATATAAGTACATTGATTTCTGTTTTTAAAAAATAAATGAATTCCTTACCAACACTGAAATTTTATTTGTGATGCTACTTTCATACCTGGTTATTATTAACTTTCTTTGACATCAAAGTTGCAAGATCTACATCAAAAAACTGCAAAGAAATATATAAGCTAGGTAATGCATACATATTTCTGTAATTGTTATGGTAAATGCCTTAATAATCATGAGAAATGAGATGTCCAAAATTTCAGATATGAAATTACATGTATCTTGAAATTTTTATGACTTGTTTTCATTTTATCATTTGATACTATATTACAAATGATTCCTACACTTACAGATGTTTAGTTCTGAAAAAGAATCTCAATATCCTTTTCTTGTTCTTTATCAGAGAGGCAATCCTTGTAGAAAGTAATTATATATCATTGATAATTTAATTAATAGCATTAAACAGAACTACTTTTGCTATCCCTCAAAATTAAAACAAAAATTTTGAGTTTTTACCAACCATCTTTTGCCTGTTAATGATTCTTTTTCTTTGTTGTCTGTGGTTATTTTATAACTCATGTTTCTCTTTAAATGTAATTTGTGGCATAATAATCCTTATTCTTCTCTCAAAATCTTTACAAAGTCACTCTTGTAGTAAACTTGTCATTGGGCCAAACTTTTGTTGAGGTATTATTGAAATCAACCTTTAAATTCTTGATTTCTGGTTTGATGACTATAAATACTGTAAATGTTTACATATACTTTTGGTGGCAATACTATATGCTGGTGATATTACTCTATGGCAACATTATGTGCCATTATCAGTTCATCATAACATGTAACTGGCAACAATATATGCAGGATGACTATACTGTAAACTGGTTCACAGGTTAACATACATGTACTGTATATAGGGGTATTTTAGCACCATATTATTTTTGCCCTTTCACACTTGCAAACTGTTTTGCCCAGTCACAATTGTTTTTTAAAGATAATCATGTCATCTTTGAATTTGCCCCATTTTAAATCTGTGCACTTGCCACGAGGGTGAAAGGGGCAAAAATAATATGAGGGCAAAAATTTCCCAGTATACAATAGGTCATTTTGTATTCAATTTTAAAGTGCAATTTTTTTTAAAAATTCACGATAGCCTGGTATGGTTTGTCATTTCCCTGACCTGACTGTTGGGAGCTTGAATCTGAAGTTGGAATGCTAGAAGTATAAACAGCCCTAGCTGTACATTCACGTTCATCAGAGGGCTTAATGGCATGGCTGGAGCAGGTCCAAGCAAACCTTAAACAAACGTCAGCATACACATAAAATCAGGCCTTGCTTCCACCAAATACTTTTTCCACTTAATTTTTATCTTTCAATACTACCTTGCTTTTGAAGAACAAAACTTATATTTACATAGTGATTTAAATTAAAAAGATGGAAAACTGGAATTTCAACATCATCTTAATATTATCACGACTGCTCAATTTTCATCTGAGCATCAAATGTTCAAGCATAAAAAAATTTTCTTAAAAGAATTTATGCAGTAGTTGAGTGGGTGAATTAAAACAAAGCATACTTGTACATGTATTTATTGTTGAATTCGTAGGAGTCTTAACTATTGAATTATTTCTAAAATTTTTTTTTAGAATACCTGGTTTTTCTGGGTTGGAGGTTAGCTGTTTTATATAGGTTTTGTGCATCTTTTCTAATGCCTCTTCAAACTTTTTCATCACTGAAATTGCAACATAAAAACATAAACAAATGGCTTTAGATAATATATTCATTATAGTTTATTTTCAATTTAAATGCCCATTAGATAATGGATATAGGACAGAGGCAATTCATTATGTCAAATATTTGACAGTCTAAAGAGAATCCTAAGAATTGTCATTATCTGACATAATGAATCATCTTAGACATTTGGGAAGGGGGGTGGTGGTGGAGGGGGGCATAGCAATAAAGAGTTTGTATGTAGATCAGAATGTACTGATCACACTTGGTTTGGCTGTGATCCAAGTGTTTCAGAAGTTATCTCTCTTTCTTCATTTGATTCAAGCAAGTATATTTACGGTAAAATAGCATATCAAGTATGAACACTTACAGATGAAATCATTGCAAGGCCATTAAAAAAGTGGATTAACAAATTAACAAATCCAGTGGTTCAGTTGTTAGGTAAAAAAAAATATGAAAAGTTTACAAACAGAAAACAGATCAACTTCAATCTGAACTCTAAGGCAGGTGGTCCAACCAAATACAACCTAGATTTACCAGTTTCAGCTGAATACTCACATGTAGGATGTTGTGATGTGAGACGTTGAACAAGCGGGTTACACAGTAGTTCTTTACAGGGGTGTACAGGGTCTGGTAACAAGCTCGGTTTACACACATTGTCTGCAGGATTGTCCTGTATACACAAACACACAGAAACAGTTAGAACTATAAATCCAGATTAGAGATAATAACTTGTTTCAGTAAGATATCATCAGTTTCTTAAATCAATTAAATGACTTGAGAGAGTCAGTTTTTTCACCAATATTTTAAAAGCAGCTTTTTTGATCCATTTTTGAAAGAATTTTATTCTGAAATCTTTTAAAAATATTTGGAAATATATAGTTAATTTTGGGGAAAAATGACCATATTTCCTAGGGGAAAAAGCCTCTATTCTGCCTTGAGACATCTGGGTCATGAAAAAGTACTGAGATAATCTTATAATCTTAAAAAGAAAAAAAAAATGAATGTTATGTTCAAAGTCTTTGAAATCTGGTCCCTTTTAGAGGGAAGTTGAACATTTTCTACAGAGACATCAATGCTAATGATTGTAAGACTTACAAATTTACTCATAAGCCTAGAACAGATGGTGACGGCCGAAATCCCTGGAATACAGTACGTTATCCTCATTGGTACATCCAGAATCTTGTGACCGTTTAGGTGTCTTTCGGACTTTTCTGCCTCTTGCCAAGACCTGTACTCAATGATTCCATAACCTAAGGACTTCCCGTCCTTCATCACAATCTACAAAGATGACATACTTCTTTCAGAGAAAGATTTTACTGAAAATCATTTCACACAGTAGTTTATGATATTGTCAAATAATTTATGCTAGCATACTATTTTCAGTTGATATCTTTATATGTGTAAACCAAAATAAAATCCACAATTTTTAAAAATCATTTCAATTCACAGGAAAGGATAATTTGCAAAAAAGACTAGTTAATTTAGTAATGACACTTTTTTTTATGTGCGCACTTCTTAACTTTACCATACCTGGCAGTAAAGTGGACTAGAAAGTGCACTAAAGATATCCCTAAACTCTGACGTGTTAGTGAAATCCTTGGGCAAATTGTCCACAAACAAACACTTGGAGTTTAATTTCCTATAGGAAGAGAGACTCTTGTCCAGAAAATCACAGTGTATATGGTGTCCTTCAACTAATTTCCAATCCAACTCTGTACGTATACTCAATATTTGACTAAGGGGAGCACTATATTCAACAACTCCATAGAATTTGAAGTCATCTGTTAAACAAAGCAAATTGTATCATGATTCAAATTTTTATCTATATGTGTTACACACAAGTCACCTCACTTAGCAATGTGCAAAAAATAATCATTCAGTGCTAAATACATGAGCATACAATAAAACAATAAATTGACGCTTACAGTAATTTTCATTCCCCGTGACTTCAAAATATATTGTAAACTTTACGGATATAACAAATTATGTTTATAATTATGCAGAATTGTCAATCCCTGGCACTTTTTTTTATAAGTGTGTTTTTCTGTATTTAAAATTCTAATCAAAATTGACCATATATGTAATATACTGATTATTCAGAAATAATAGACTCTTCTTAGTTTGATTCTCATAACCGAGTAAGAATTCAACATTACCCCGGTAAATTTATTAAGATGAGATGAGAACTTACTTGTAGTTTGACCTCGATAGAGAAAGCACTTCTTAACAGCACAGAATGGAGACACGAAGGCTCGGAATTTTTGTAGTGTGTAATCCTGGGGCAGGTGAGCACAGCACAAAAGTTTCTCAGTCTCACAACGATCTATACTTATAACACAGTCACGGAATTTTGTGTTTTGTAAATCTAGCATTAACTGTTCAATTTCATTTCCACTCTCAAGTACAACCACAGCTGAAAAAGAGAAAACATGCATTTTTTTTTCCAAACTGGCTTATTTAATTTAAATATAAATATCACTATTTATTTTTAATGAAAAGAAAATTTTACTTTTTTCAGCTTTTTTAAATTTCAGTCAAAATAGTTTTGTTTTCTGAGTATAATAAGCATGTGATTTCATGTTAAATTTGTACAAGGGAGGCAAGTGCCAAATGGTTATTTTTCCTCCTAACAAAGCTTAGGACCCTTTCTGCACATTAGAATTTAATATCCAGCTTTAATATCCAACAGTTAAGTGTCTAGCCAGAAATGGTCCATAGTTAAGAATGTATAGTAAGGAAAGTTGCAAAACATCTAAATCTGCTGCACTCTAAATTTTTCTCAAATTAGTCCAGAGTAAGAAGTCACATATTCAAATGTAATGTACAGTGTCCTTGTTACATACAATAAATTTGACAAACAATGTTACCTCTGTGGCATGCATTGAAAAATTTGAATCACAGATAATTTTGAAAAAATTCATGATTTTTTTTTTAAATAAGAGAAAGAATTTGTCAGCAACCAATGTGCCAAATCTGAATTTCCTAATTAACATGATTAAGTGATTCATATTTTTAAATCTTAAATTTACATGCAATTTACAAGGTTTAACTAGAACTATATTTATAATTAAATCCCAATTTAATCATTTCCCAATTTCACTGGTTTTTGTCTTAAGTTTCACTATGCTTAGCATGTGAGAGTCATGAAAACTCCATGATGTTGCCTGCACTGTATATCAAGTTCATTCACCAGTCCACACCCCAAAATATGTATCAGTCTCGGTAAAGACACACACAATATGACAAGGTGTTATGAGACAACATTGTATCCAGCTATCACAATGAGACTGAGGATTGCCAGTCATTTGACTCCCACACCAACAGACTAGACAAAATAAGGCATTGAATGAAACTAATGCATTTACTCCAGAGCTTCAGAAAAGCAGTTTGAGAGGTTGCTATTAGTAACTACAGTACAATTACCTTTTCTTTGTCCAGGAATGATTTCGATACTCTTTGCTATGTATGCCCCTAATAGCACATTTATGTCATCCTGAAAAATATTTATGAATAGTATATAAAGTGTATAACTTACAATGTATCATATATTCATCCTTTAAGATATCTATTTTATCCTTCAAATTATGTTGGAATATACTCAGTTCTCCATGTTTGCATTTGGTGGCATTGCTGAGCCACATTTAATTAATTTTCTATCAATCATTTAGTGATTAAGACTTGGCAAGTAAAAATACACTTCCCCTAACAATTCATAATCATGGTGAAATCCCCATTTTTACCGTTCTATAAGCATTCTGAGAATTTTCAAAATACCATTTCTAAATGCCTAAGAATGCTTCTAGAATTTGATATGCCTGAATGTGAGAATTTGTTATATTTGTTTCAGGTTTTACATGTTCTTTGGGGCATGCTGAAGTCAATTTGAAAAAGTGTTTACTGTTTAGAAAAATATATTTAAAAATATTTAAAAGGTTGGAGGTCTTTTTAAATCAATATATTGAAATGCCTCGTATGGGGAATGTGGTAGGTGCAGATTTATTTTCAGAGAACAAGTACTGTTAACAAGTGAGCTGAGAAGATGCCATTTTTGAGCTTGCATACCTATGTATTTATATTTAGAGCAGCGAGCTCTACAGGCTATAAAGCAATACCATATTTATCATTAAGATTAAGAGAGAGGGCTAATAAAAATAGGCTAAGCCTGCTGCCAATTCTCATTCACTTCTGTGAATAAAATATTGGTTAAATTAAATTAATCATTAAGATTTAGTTTTTGCAGATAGCTTAAAAGAAAAAAAAACAATTGCATCTACTTTTAAAAGAAAAAGTATTCCTTTCATAAAAAAATTGCCCTATTTAGATTTCATTAAGGAACAGCAACTAACACGTAACAAAACATGTGATGTCACAGTCATCAGCAGTGTCCAACCTTTACCCTTCCAGTGTATCCAGTGTTAAAAAGGCGGAATTAAACATGTACAATGTATATATAAAGGTTTTTAAGGTATCCAGTAATAAATACAACTGCACTTGCCCCATCCATTGCACCTTAAAAACTAGAAATATGTCCATAGGACATGAATGCCCCGCCGAGGGTATATTAGTAATGCAACATTTTAACACAAATTGAGAAAAGTGAGGTCAAGGTCAAAGGAAAGGTAAAGGTCAAAAAACATTGATGCAGTTGAATAGCTCTCATCGGTATGTATCAGCATATGAAGTTTGACACTAATTTAAGAAAAGTGAGGTCAAGGTCAGAGGAAAGGTCAAGGTCAAAAAATGTTGATGCAGTTGAAAAGGTTACATCAGTATGTATAAGCATATGAAGTTTGATGAAAATATTATGAATGGTTTCTTTAAAAATGAGCTAAACACTAATTTAAGAAAAGTGAGGTCAAGGTCAAAGAAAAGGTCAAGGTCAAAATATATTGATGCAGTTGAATAGCTCTTATCGGTATGTATCAGCATATGAAGTTTGACACTAATTTAAGAAAAGTGAGGTCAAGGTCAGAGGAAAGGTCAAGGTCAAAAAATGTTGATGCAGTTGAAAAGGTTACATCAGTATGTATCAGGATATGAAGTTTGTTAAAAATATCTTGAATGGTTTCATTAAAACTGAGCTTAACACTAATTTAAGGAAAGTAAGGTCAAGGTCAAAAGAAAAGTCAAGGTCAAAAAAATGTTGATGCAATTGAATAGCATACATCAGTATGTATCAACATATGAAGTTTGATTACACTATCTTGAATGGTATCTTTAAAACTGAGCTACACACCAATTTAAGAAAAGTGAGGTCAAGGTCAAAAGTAAGGTCAAGGTCAAAAAATGTTGATGCAGTTGAATAGCTTACATCAGTATGTATCAACATATGAAGTTTGATTACACTTTCTTGAATGGTATCTTTAAAACTGAGCTAAACACTAATTTAAGAAAAGTGAGGTCAAGGTCAAAAGAAAGGTCAAGGTCAAAAAATGTTGATGCAGTTGAATAGCTTACGTCAGGAGGTATCAACATATGAAGTTTCATTACACTATCTTGAATGGTATCTTTAAAACTGAGCTAAACACTAATTTAAGAAAAGTGAGGTCAAGGTCAAAGGAAAGGTCAAGGTCAAAAAATGTTGATGCAGTTGCATAGCCCTCATCAATATCTATCAGCATATGAAGTTTGATAAAAATATCTTGGATAGTTTCTTTGAAACTGAGCTTTGAACAGAGCTAAACGCAAAGTGTGACGGAAGGACAGACGGAAGGACGGAAGGACAGAAGGGCGGAAGACGGACATGACAAACACTATATGCCCCGGCCATATTCATGGCGGGGCATAAATATTACTGTAACATATAATTTTTAGGTATCATACTTATTAATACAGATGAAAACCGAAAAAACCTGTGCAAATACTCCTACAAGTAAGAGCCTCAGTTGAAGTACCTACGCTTCTTATATACCTCGGACTATTACTTCTAAAGGCCGTTTTTTTTTTTAACGAGCTAATTCCGACGAGATTTGGTCAGACCACATTATGTGTGAAATAAACTGTAATAAAAGTAATTCTCAGGTACCTATGTATTTGCATGAGGTATAACAGTGACAAGAAATCATAAAATCCACTGTCATCAATGTTCATTACTCAAAATTGTCATTATTTCAAATTTTCATGAGCAGCACTTTCAATAAGACTTAACAATAATTCTGCAGATTGCAATTCAGATAATGAATTCAAATATTTTAATTTCATAGTGGAAAACTAATAGTGTTGCAAAATTGGACCAAATTTACTATCCATTATCAAATTGAATCGGTAGCATACTATCGATTATATGATTGATAGTTTGAACTTTTTAGGTAAAATTAAATAAACTTAACCATGAAATATTCAGATATCCTCGTAAATGAAAACAATATTTCAATACAAATCTGTAAGGCCAACTTCAATTCATGTTTAATAGGAAAATTTGTCTGCCATTTGCAAGAGAATAATCTCAAAGGAATATCCTTTGATAATGTTAAAAGACAAAACAGTTTGTATAAAAAAAAAATATTTTGAAAACATGTAGTGACTATCAATTATAAAATTTTCTATCAATTGTCGCTGATGTGCTGCCTTAAGTGACGATTTTTCAATAGTCGGCAACTATTGTTATTCATAACAACACTAGAAACTAATTTTGTTTTGTCAGTTTTTCTGCATTCCATTCCTGAATTTCAAATAAAGGACCAGTTTTGATTTCTGCTTTGATTTTTAAAAATGATGGATTGATTGCTAATAAGAGAGATTAACATTCTTTTATGTATAAGTTTCACTGAAAATTATGAATATTTTATTGTTTTTGTGTCACAGGTAAATGTCAAAGCCTGGATTTTATTTATTAAACAATTTATTTCCACTTGGAATTTCAGCAGCGATAATTTTTTCAATGGATGCTAGAGGTCACACGCCACCAAGTCAAAAGTATCTTGCCTTTAACCTCTAGCATGCTGGAGTGCTGTGCAAACAGACTTTGGACTAAAACTGATTATAACCTTTATTTTCATTTTAAATACATATTCATTTCTCATATTGCGACCTAGTTTTTTTTTTTAAAAATTCCTGTAGGTTTAAATTCTTAGGCATTATAGCATTGACTAGATTATCTGTGAATCTATAGAATAGTTCTTATCATGAAAGTCCTTGATAGACCATCTTACTTCATTTGCAGAAACTGGCAAATTGCTGATCAATATTGGTCGATCTCTGTAAAATTCTTCCATAGACAATTGGAGAAGCTCGGCAGAAGATTTTTCCGCCGAACTGCTATTTTGATTTGAAGAAATCTTTGGTGAATTTTCCGTGTTTTCCTCATCCATATCTGGATTTTTGGAACCACTGATGGTCGTCGCCATCTTGGATTTATAAGATCTCAAATCAGAACATACTACATATATTCCGGAAAAGCTAAAATAACATTAAATATATTCAGTCCAGCTAAGTCTTTATTGAGTCACGTCCTTTACAAATTGGCGTATGATGAAAATTAAATTATTGACCAAACTGTGAATAAAATTTTAATGCAATGATCTTGGCACATCTGAATCCGGATTATATCCTTTCCGTTTTGTTTTTAGTTTTCCCATCATTCAGTAGAAAGTTTACACTTGTAGAGTAAACATCAATATACGAAGGAAAGTGCTTTCAAACTTATACTGAGCTTAACAAACATTGTGGTATTAACATGCGATATTTTTAAAAGCAGTGATTTAGCAAATTGATGAAAATGACGTTTGCACAAATTTCTCCGTCTTATGTTGATGACGGATGTTATCATGACGAAAAAGAAATTTTGCCGGGTACTTTGTTGGCACGTGGCCAATGACATTTCCTCGCTTTCCTAATTATGCATTGAGCATAAGTACTTGTGATTACGAATATTATTTATTTAGAATTTTTCAAAAATTATAGCAATGACATGAGTGCATGTCTTCAATCTTTTTCTCAACTTGAGAAAAGGTCATAATGCGGATAGAGATGACATCCATGAAATCCAACCTGCGGAGATCCCGGACCATTGCAGAGGGGGATTATGTTTCTTCAGGGGTGGAAGAAAAAGAAAACTCTCCTGAAACTTTCCGCCCCGCGTCAAACTCCTGTCAGGCCCTGAAGCATGCAGTGTCGGCACTGACGAGGCTTGACGACTTCATTCTAGAAAAGGTCGGACAGGGATTCTTTGCTGAAGTCTTCAAGGTATAACTTAAAAACAATTTACAATTCAAATGAAAAGAATTTCAATGAGAAATGCTTTACTTGTAATAGCTCCAGCCTTTTAATGCATCCACACATCTTTATGATTAGTTAACTATCTCAAAAATCAGAATACATACTGTGTTTCGCCAACATGATGTTGCAGTAGAATGTATGCAACAAGTATGTAATGCATGCTTTCGCTTTCTGATAAACTCTATCCATTTTCATTTTCCGTAGCCATGAAATCAATATAAATTGCTTGTTAGATCTCATAATAATTTTCTGTACTCTGATAATTTTATTATTTTGATAAATATCAAAGAACTGGAAAGTTAACAAAAACATACAAGATCATCTTAAGTTCTGTATGAAATTTAACATTTCCCTCATGACTTGATTGACAAGGTATGCATCAGAAAAATACAGATTTATTTTTCAAAACTGCTAAAGAAAACAACTGAAAAAAGTTTCATAACTTGATGTAATCTATGAGATGATGTGATTAGATTGTCATATTACATAGTATTATGTATATTGAATGATTTTAATTCATAAGGATGTCTTTTGGTATTTTAAATCTCTAGACATGAACTCTAGATGCATGAAATTAAATTCACTCACTTTATCAGTTCAAAAGTTTGAAAGTCAAGTATCAAACACGATATTGAAATTCAGCTTCTTAGCAATAGCAACCCAGTGACCAAAATCAGATGGTTGAAATTTTATACTTTCTAAATGAAATTTAGATGAACCAAAGGAGGTCCCCAGGTTCAAAATCAAGCTAATAGAGAGTATAGACATGGTAGAGTGAAATAAAAATCAAAATAGCGTGTTTTAACAATAATATTGGTGTTGATATTGATAGTGCAGCAGCTTACAAGTTCTAAATATGTATTAAAAGTATACTAATTACAATAAGTATATACCTGCATATGTAATACACAGTGGTATATGCATGAAGTAAGGTATAATATGATAAAGTGTTTCTTTGTCTGCTTGCCATCATAAAATGATTATATAATGAACTATGGGTCATATCCCCTTCCCATGGGAATAATTTATGGGTTACTGGAACATATATTAATTAACCTACAAGGTTACTCATTAATATCTTATTCCTCTAGAAAGTCCTCTGTTAATGAAACATTTATCCTGATAACTGAATAGAACAGCAGTTTAGTTAATATATATGTTCCATATGGAACAGAAACTTGATGAATTTGATAAGTGTAAAATTTTAAAATTTGTTTTGATACATATTAATTTTTTGTTCACTGATTTTTCCATACATATGGGATACTAAGTGCATACACTTGGCAATGTCTCCAAGTTTTGACTGTGAGATAGGTAGATGCAATAACTTCTTGACATGATATACTTAAGGTACATGCATTATATATCACTTAAACGGTGACCAGATACCGTATTGCCTGTTAAAAAATATAGGCTATGTAAATGCTGCTATTGACACAATTCTATATAAGAACAGATTAGTCAGAGTTTTTTTTTACTCCCCCAGTGTCTAAATGTTTGTGATGTAATCCCTCCTCTTGTCTCAGGTATCTCTTCATTCCTGACAAGTGACAAACATTGCTGATGTATCTGTTTTTGCTACCAGAGCAAAGTGGTCTGGTACATCAGTATAAACACTCAATGTGCAGGCTTGCCTAGACAAAGTAGAAACTGCTACCTGTCAGATCATCGTCTACATTGCGGGCTGATAGAGCTATGCATACACAAACAATTTTAAGGACAGATATGACCCAGTAAAAGAATATATTGCCTTTATATATTACATTTAATCCCAAGGAGTTTTTGGGTCAGATGTTTATTTGACTAGACATTTTGAGAAGGTCATTTACCAGCTGAAAGGCGGACTAAGGTTCATGCAAACTGGACACACCTATCATAAGTTGATACACGATCATATGCACATTGAGTCATTGCTCGAAAAACTTTCACTTAATTGTATTGTACAGTTATTAAAATATCATATGGATGAAAGGAACCCTTACATATTCATGTATAGCATGTAGATTCGTATTTTCTTTCTATGAATCTAATGTACATGTGTTAGGATGGATTAAAATTAGTTATTAGTAAACAATTTTTATTGCTTGTTAATATTTACACTCTTAATTAAAAGTTGTTACTAGTATTACTATTACTGATGCTGACCACATTTAATTAAAAAAAACTTAATTTCTGAAATAGTTTGAGATCAACAGGAACAGATATAATGTTAAGAGTGCATGTTTATGTAACATATTAAGGTGTGTACATAATCTGAATGAATGCAAGGTGGCAATGAACTTAATACTTGTATGTGTATTCACATTATGTCTATAATTAATTGATGTTACATTAATGAGTGATTGTTTGTTTCCTTGTAAAGGTCACCCACAAGTCGACTGGTCAAGTAATGGCATTAAAGATGAACATAAACTCCAGCAACCGCTACAACATGCTTCAGGAAATCCAGCTCATGAATCGACTGTCTCACCCCAACATCCTCAGGTATCACCTGGTAGTGAAACAATTGATATGCGGGGGGGGGGGGGGGGGGGGGGGGGGGATTTCTATGGAAAATCATTGAATTTTCAGAGAAATTGCAGAGATTGCTAAATATGTCAGTTTACAGTCCACAGAAATTAAAGAACTTGATATGTCACCAAAAAAATTAAAACAAAGAGAACATGGGGGAAAAATTACACATTGTTTGCAATTTATGTAAAAACTTAATTCTTGAGTATTTCATTGGCCATGTTGATGAAAGAGAAATAAGTAAAGAAGTAACCTTAACTGAATGCATTTGTAAAAAAAAAAAAAAAAAAAAAAGCAAAGTGTAGTAATGTGCCTAAATTCATTTTCTTGTATGGAACTAGTATCCTCTGTTACAGGGAGGGGTGGTTACCAAATGTTGATCAAGATGTACAGGTTGAGTGATATACAGGTTTCCAAATTAAACAGGAAACACTGGTACAAACAAAGTCAAAACTAATCGATCAACTTTCTCTAAATATCCCTTAATCTGTCCTATCAGCTCATACACAAACAATTAATAGGGCAAATGGAAGCTCAATTTTTGGACAGTTTCTGGCGGTATCTTGTTGGCATGCTTAGAAATTGATAATTTTTCTTCCCCTATCAGGCCAATAATTCACAAGGCATTGCTCTTGACTTTGATCATTACACTGATGTGAATAGGACTATATCTTTACAATGTACATGTTTATCAACAGAATTAATATGGGAACATTATTCAATATCTGAAAATATTTCTTTTTTTTTTTCTTTAAATTTGCATGCAATAATGATCTAGGTTAACTTTCAGAGTAGGCCTTATTTAATGAGTAGTATATTTTGTAAAAATACTATGAATGTATAATGAATTTTTTTTCACAATATTGATATACAGTAAAACTCTGTTATAGCGAAGTCCTAGGGACCTGCAGATTTACTTCACTATATTCATAATTTGTATAGCGAGTTCATTAAAGTATATACAGTAAATTCACAATATAGATGTTTTCCTTCAGGTATGACTTCCAAATACATTCTATGTAGAAGTATTATATACCAAACTTACCTTGGAGCACTAAAGTTTTCTGGTGAAATTTTGAATGTAAATATGCACTTACAAAACATGTATCACTTCAATAATTTAAATTTTGAGATCTTCGAAATTCATAATTAAAGATATACAGTAAATTTCATTGTTTGTAACATCTAAAGGACAAGAATCAGTTCAGTTAACCTTAAATTCACTATATCAAGTTCATTGTGACCATAAAATTTTACAAGAAATTATAAAGAATTTCGCCAGGGATCCCAGAAGACTTGTTGCTATATCCATAAATTCGCTAAATCTGTGTTCGCACTAAACAAATATTACTATATTTGATTGCAAAATATAGACCATTTTTCTCAAGTCGAATGAACTTCAACGATGTTCTCAAATTTTATGTTTTGATCCTTTTAGCTATGATCATGGTGATATACAAGATTTGTGGGAATTTTGACTGTTAACATGGTTAGGGAAGTTGACACCTAATTTTTTATCTGAACACATGCTTCAGTGGAAGAATTATATTACACATCCTCATTGTCATGAAGTGTTAGGAAATCATACAAAGGGGTAAGGAAGGCATATCTTGTGGCTACAGAACATGTAGACATTAGCACATTTTGTCAAATTCAGGTAAAGTTTGCCATTATGCACTGTATACCCGTATATATGTGCATTCAATAGAATTATTTAGTTCTTGTCATAATGGTTCACTTTGGAGAGTACTAGTTGCATCTTTGTGAGTGTTCGTAATAATGCTTTTAATGCTTAATAGCATCGTGAACAAGATGAAGCTTACACGGAGATTATATTTAGCTTTTCTTAATTGATTACAATGTGATTGAGTGTAAAGCCATCTTTTTATTCATGTTTAATGTAACATTACTGAAACATAGTACAGATTTTCCCATAAAATCAATTTTGAAATGTTTACAGTTTGGGAAAACTGCAAATAAGTACAAGTATATCTTGAACGTTAACACTTAAAGTGTTACATGATAGTTTACAAATATATATTGTGGTTGACACTACTTGAACTGGAGGGTAAATATAGATCAATCCCAAAGTAGTAAGTCATTTAGTAATCAGTCAAGCGACCATCTGTTTCCCTAAGTACTAGTACAGCTAATTCATTAAAGGTGTACATTGGTCCTCAGTAACCTGTTGATTCTGCAAATTGCATGTATTATTCTCAAACAGAGGCAGCCATAACCAAATTGACTCAATCTTGTTTTTTCGTTGTTATGCTGGAATCATTTTCAGCTCAGTGGCCAGGTTTTTAGTGTTGTTGTGTAGCACCAGTCATCAGCTCCTGCTAGGAATTTGTTTAGATGAGAAGGTAGATGATCTTTATTATACATTAAAGCAGGATGATATTATGGGGGAACTGTACAGACACCCCCCTCCCGTCAAGGTCGAACAACAAACAATAACTGGTGACTTAGCAAACATTCACATCAGATGATGAAGATCTCATTGCTGTTGAGATGATTGTGTATGTTTTATCTATTATTAAGCAATATAAATTCAGGGAACCAGATGTGAATCTAGGAAATGCAAATGGAAGACAATAAGATTAAAATATATCATAATTCAGTATATTATTAACCAGATAAAAGTTTTCTTCTCTCAGAATGCAAAAAGTCGGTTATGATTTAAAACTCATGAATTGCTTTAAAACACCATTCTAGTGCAGATGCTTTCTGTGTTTGAATATAAACAATTTTTTTTTCAAAAGTGCAAGAAATTGTTTTATAAACTGTACAGTTTTTCCTAACACCAGCAAATGGACATATTAAATCATAAAAATACATGTAGTAAAAATCCCTCTCGACGAGTTGAAATTGTGTTAAGTTATGAAGTAGGTTTTGTGAACGCAGTTTTATACTTAACCCAGTTTCATTCATCTTGAATTAAATATACATAAACAGGATGCAATGAATGTCATGTTTGGACATCAAGTATGTTCTTATATATATATACATGCGCTCTGTACATATTCAATATAGTACTTGTTTTACGCTACATTTTGGAACACTGATATGTAGTATTTTTATAAAGGCTCCTTGTATTAAAAATTCATTTCAAGGAGCTTAAACAGATATAAAAAATTGAAATTTTTCTGACACCTGTTTAAAATATGTACATACATTGAAAGTAAAAGTGTTAGATCTTGTTTATTAATGTGCCTTTTTACATCTGTCCTTAGAATGCACTGGTCCAGAACACGGTGCTAAATGGAAGGCAATATACCTGTTGAAAGTCTAATAGCCATAGGAGGTCATTTGTTCATGGTTTTTACATGCTAGATCACTAGGCCTTTAATTACCACTTAATATGTAGGGTTTAGAACTTACTTTTATCTATATTGAATGTTGTGTGCTGATAAAATCATGACAGGTCATTGGCAATTCTAAAAGGGTAATAACATTATGGAAGTGAAGTCCTGTTTAAGTTTATACTATATTGTTAGGACAGCTGTTTCCGAGCTTGTCGAATTGAGTAAATTAGAGTAGTCATTTTCCACTGGGTATTTAAGGATAAAATCTTGTGAATGAAACTTTTTTATTCATAGAAATTAATAATTGATTTCACTATAGGATACACAATAACTGCCAAGAACCATTGATATGTGACAAGTAGATATGAATTTTTAATACAGAGAGTGAGATATAGGTACATAAATGCTTTGTTGTTCTCATGTATAATTGAAAGCTAAATAGCAAATGGGATTCCAGGGCTATGAATTGAATGTCTTCCCTTGCATATTCTTTGGTAAAGCAAAGCTGCCTGACACTAGCCATATTCTTGTACAAGTATCGGTAAAATAGTCTTCACATGGATACATTACTTCCTACCATTATTCATGTTCAGAACATTCTCCAACATTTTACTCACTCATAAGAAAAATGTGAAACATTTCAGAATACAGATATTTACTGAAAGAAATTCTTTATGATTGTACAAAGTTGGCAGAAACACTTGGTATATTTGTGTGTATCATCTGCATGATAGATCTAGATGCTTAAGAATCACCCTGTCTGTTGTCTGTTTGTTAAGGAGAAGTCACTGTCATGTGTACACAAATTTATTCAGAGTTTTCTTATGTCATTTCACATGGTCACAATGCATGATATTGGTCACATTAAAGGTCAAGGTCTAAAAGGGTGACATGTTCCATGAACATTCTATTTGTGCCTCTTTTACCCATGCCTTCTGGCATAACTAAAGCCAAAGGACAAAAAGGGGTTCAGTTTTCATGAAAGTCTCCAAATATTTCTCTTTATAAATTTTTTCATTGTAGATTTCTAGGAGTATGTGTACATGAAGGCCAGCTGCATGCATTGACTGAGGTAAGCTAAATTCCACAACTCATCAACTAGGTCATCTTGAGTTTTATTTCGTGCGAAAATTATATTTAATGGTGCAAGCAACTGTTTAATGTGTTTCCTTCTTATGCATTCCCATCAATTGAGTAAAACATTTCTTGCATATTTCATCCAACTACGCAAGAAACATTTTGTATCAAAGGCTGAATTTGAGCTGATTTCATAATGAACAAAATTGCAGAAGCTTGCAGATAAAAAACTCAGACTGATGTAAGATGATTGTATGTGTAGTTACCTGATTGATCAAGCTTTCTGCAAGGTGTGCATTAATTGCTTTCATTGTATGCATAGAAGACAGACAGCTACATCAAAGTGTCTCAGATTCAGTGTTCTGTGAAGATGTACATTGTTGTATATGCAAGATTTTTAATTATTTGCAGTTTTCACAAATATCACTGAATGTCTTTGTCATGTGTTAATTAGTTTTTTTATTTAAATAAGTCAGATGAATCCTCTGGGAAGGTTTATTCAGAGAGGGAAGGGAGATGTAGTACATCCCCAATTTTTTTTAAATTAAATTAGCTCACCTGAGCTGAAATCTCAAGTAAGAGTAAGCTTTTCTGATCACCAGTTGTCTGTCACTTGTCTGTCTGTCTGTCTTGCTATCCATCTGTCTGTCTGTAAACTTTTCACATTTTCAATTTCTTCTCAAGAACAAGTGGACCAATTTTATCCAAAGTTGGCACAAGCATCCTTTTGTAAAAGGAATTCTAAATTGTTTAAATGAAGGGCCAAACCCCTTCCAAGGGTAGATGATCAAGGAAAGGCAAAAATAGGGTGGAGCTATTAAGAAATCTTCTCAAGAACCACCAGGCCAGAAAAGGTGAAACTTATGTGGAAGCTTCCTGAGGAAGTGTAGATTTTAAAGTGTTCAAATCATGACTCTTTGGGGTTAGGGTGGGACTACAATAGGGGATGAAAGTTTACATTGAAATATTTATCCAAAAAAATTCCTTAATTATCTTCTTTTCAATAACCACTGGACTGGGAAAATAAAAATTATGCTAAAGCTTCCGACATATTGTAGATTGTAAATCATTCAATTCATGGACTCCCATTGGTAGGGTGGGGCCACAATAAGGATCAAAATTTTACATTGAAAAATATAAAGGAAAAGTCTTTTTCTCAAGAACCACTGGATCAGAAAAGATGAAACTTATGTGAAGGCTTCCTGAGGAAGTATAGAATATAAACTGTTTAACTCATGGCCCCCAGGGGTAGCTTGGGGCCACAATAGGGGATCAAAGTTTGATGAAACTGTATAAGATTTTTTTTTAAATCTTCCAAAAAAAAAAAACATATAAGAACCATTAATTTGCAAACATTCCAATGTTGTTTATATTTAATTTTTTTTAATTATGGACTCTGTGTTAGATTTGGCTAAAATAAGTATAAAGTTTTACATAATTCAAGTGTAAAGGAAAAGAATTTTCTTCTCCATTACTACAAGACCATTTTAGTCATATTGAAGCATCCCCATGGTGTATGGATTCAGAGACCTCTTAGAGTTAGGATGGGGTCACAATTTTTCAAGGGAATATAAAAATCTTTTCAAAATTTTCTGAAAAATGTCAGAGCAAAAGTAACTCAGGTGAGTGTTGTGGCCCATGGGCCTCTTGTTATTATGGCATGAGTTAAATAAATAGGAAAAACTTTTATAATTTCTGCCACTTAAAATATTATGGAAAATTTTGAAAATATTTGTCACACATTCAATTCATAAAATTATGTGCATGGTAAAATTTATTATCGGTATATACCATTGAAAAAATGCAGGTTTATAGTAACTTAATGAATGTGTTAATATACCTGTTGTAGTTTATGAATGGAGGAAGCTTGGATCGTTTAATTGCTGATGAGAATATTGAAATGCCATGGACACTGAGGATAAATTTGTCCTCTGATATTGCCAAAGGAATGAAGTATCTACACAGCAGAGGAATATTCCATAGGGATCTGACATCAAGGGTAACCTCAGTGTACTTCATACATAAGAACTACTACCAAATTTTGACAGTGTCCCCTTGCAAAAATTGTCATATCTTCCAAAAATGGTGTCAAAATTCCCCAATAAGATTATATGATCAAAACTGTGTATCAACTTTTTAAAGCCAATGGTATCATTCATTATAAGCATGGATGTTTACTTGTGGTTGTTTCAAATTATGCAAATAAGTAGCAAAAACCAAATGTATGGGGATATTTCCATGATACCAATATAATGTATTGTTGATACTGAAATCAGAATGAATATTGATATGATTTTAAGATTTCTTATAGTGTATATAGCGTAAATTATCCCAAGAGTAAATTTCCACATTTACGGTATTGATGATGTAACTACATCAAATACTTTTACAAGGACAATTATTTTAACAGGTAGGTTATTGGTAAGGTTGATGTGCAAGAAATATCTGTCCCTGCAGAAAGTAGCTCTCTAAATCATTCCCAATATCCCAAAATATTAATGATTTTTTCCAAATAGGTGTAAAAAACATAACCATTTCTAAGTGTAAATGTACCTTCAAGGGTTTTTTTTTTTGCATTTTTCATTGCTTTACATTGTGCATTTCCTGCATACCTGACATATTTTATAAATCTAATAAAGAACTGGTAAACTTATCACGATATGATCTGTCTCTCATGTCTGATGATAGGGAAGTAGGAAATGTTAATTATTGTGTTAATTTAGTGTCTGCTATAGTTGGAAGTCTTATAGCTATTAATAGGTCATATTCCTCTTTAATCTTCCTTGAGAGGCTTTACTGTTTGTAACAGGATGTACCCGTGTAATCATGGGCTTTTCCTCTGTATCTGTTTCCTTTAAATCCTGTCTGTTTGAAGCAAGCATATGTTTACTCTATTTATTTTCATTGATAGACAGAGAAAGGTTAATCAACTTTTTGACCATAATTATAGACCAAAATAATAATAAAAAAAAAATTCCCGAGTTTTAGCTTCCCACTGAACTGACCTCGTCTTTCTCCCCACTGACCATAATTTTTTTTCAGAGTTGGAAATAATATACATGTATTAAAAAATACATGCTTTGATCACAGACTACTGTTTCATATATTTTTTTAACTTTCGTATATTTTTTTAACCAATTGATAAAGAAATGAGACAGAACAACATTGAACAAAAATCATGCAGAATGAAAGTTTTTAATGTAGAGACAGTAACTATACACATTAGAATATTTTTTGAACTGGAAACCCAATTCATATTTATTGCTGGAAACCCTCTTCTTAATATTTATGCCCCCCCCCCCCCCCAAATTAAGATTTTTTGGAGGGGGATTAGACTTATAATCACCTTGTCTGTCTGGGCCATAACTTTCTAATGGAGAAACAATGAAGTTCATACTACACACAAAGATCACTTATGACCAAAGGATGTGGCATTTTCTGGACCCAAAGTCAATTGGCAAGTTCAAGGTCACTTGTAGAGAAATTTCTATGGGCACTTTTTAAAAATTTAATTTTCTGAACTCAATCAAGGTGCTTCTAGTTTTTTTGTTTGGCTTCAATATCAAATTCTTTTGTAACAGGTGTGTTAATTGTTTTTCCTTTACCTGCTTTTTTTTTTTTCGGGGCTGGGGGGCAACTTTTGCTGAGGAACATTACATGCAACAATGAATGTTTTTATAATAAAATTAATTTACTTTTAATTAATAAAGTTTTTTTTCTTTTACAGAACATTCTGTTACGCGTTGAAGACAATGTGTATCATGCAGTGGTCTCAGACTTTGGTCTAGCAGCAAAAGTCCCAGATCCTTTGTGAGATATCTAGAATCATATATAAAAAAATATAAGCAAAGTTCATGAAACAGTAATTCATATACAATAGATATACCAGATAACATTAAATTCCTTTAAAGTATTTGGACACTAAACAGTGTTTAATGTAAAATCACAGAAAACTGTAAACCAGCTTTTATTTGCGTGCAAGAAATATCTGTGAGTTTCACAACCTTCTTTTACTCATGAATATTTATTGCTGTGAAAAATTGATTTTGCTGTATATTTATGTATAATGTTAATTTGGTCACGAAAATTAATCATAGCCAATTGATTTCAGACTGACAGTTCACAAATAAAGGTGCAAATAATAGTTAGTTTACAGTAAACAATTAGGAATGATTACATATACAGTTGACTCCTTGTGTACGAGTCAGTTTGTGTACGAGTCAGTTTGTGTACGAGTTGACTGTAAATCTCCAATGAGACTGTAGCTCAACTGGTGTACGAGTTGACTTAGTTTTGTGTACGAGTTGACTTCTTTTGTACGAGTCGGTTTGTATACGAGTCAGTTTGTGTACGAGTCGGATTGTGTACGAGTTGACTGGATTCCTCATCAGAGACTTCTGGTTAGCCTCCTGTTTTATTGTATTGAGTATTGTTTCATCTTCAGGGATAAGAGCACAAAGCTACCAATTGTGGGATCACCGTATTGGATGGCTCCAGAAACCCTGAATGGGCTGTGGTATGGACCACAGGTAAGAAATTTATACTGTAATCTGTACTAACTTCATATCTTGCCAAGTTTTGAAAATCTCCATATGGTATTCTTACGTGTAGAAACATTTTCCAGATTAGAAAATTTGTGACTTTGTCTTGATTGTGAATTTTGCTTTTTTTTATTTGATTTCCCTGTTTTGACTGATATTAAATCAATTAGACAAGTTGTTACAAACTCATTGTTATGGCAAAGGTACCTAATTAAGAGGCTCTATACACTGCACACTAAAGAGTCCTGATTTTGTGGTATTTTTAAGCAGATAGAGCAATCTGCCCTTTGATCAGGAATAAAACAAATTGAAATATACAGTTTATTACTTAATTTGTAATCAAGTCAAGCATTCATAACATTTAAAAGGCCAAGATGAATAGATTGAACACTTCATTTGCAGGTATTTTGCCAACTTAAGTAAACAACAGTGATTTCTGTTCATCAGTACTTTCCCTGTCTTTGAACATTTTTCCAGGGGGTAAATGCAAAGTACCCTATGATGAAAATGTGATAAATAAGCTCAATATTTACACCTTTTCACACTATAATTTTCTTAATGTCCAAAAAATCTTTTCCCCTAGTGTATAGAGGGTCCCAAAAACCCAGTAAATTGTCAACACGCACAAGGTATATGTATGTAAACCCCGCTTTGCCCTTGTGTAAACAAAATTAGAGTTAACATTTCACCACTCCACTGACCACAGGTCACTGTTTTATTTGCAACCCCAAAGAACAGGCAAAGCTGCCAATTAACCCTTATGATTTTGGTGTAAGGCTTACAATTTGAGTGTCTAAAATATGCCTTTCCATTTCTCTATTTACCTGTATTTTTCCGATTTCTGTTTTTCTCTGTTAAGTGATTTTCATAGCTTTCAATCTTCAGTTTTTACTTTTATAATAAAAAAAATCATAGTCCTTATGGCACTTCCTTGTATTGTCAAGTGTCCATTTATAGTTGGCTGACAACTGATCTAAATCATTTAAATGTTTGAAAGTACTGTATATACTCGCTTATAGGTTGGTCCACCTATATGTCGGTTGTATTTTTTGAGGTTGTTTTGGAATGATTTGCCATTGACCCGCCTATAAGTCAGTGCAACTTTTTGCCAGAATCAGTTGACAATTTCAAATCAATGCTCTGATGTTTAAATCTGATTTCAATTACAGTGTAATATTTTTAAAAACGATACCGATGTTTGAATTTTAAATCATTAACCAAGTAAGTAATAAACACGTAAGATAAAAATAAAGTTATTAAAATGTTTAAATACTTGTACTATATGTATAATCTTAGAATACATAATGATATAATATATCCAGACTTTGTTAAACGATAATCGTCAGAAATGTTTATAAAATACTACATTTCGCCGTCCAGAAAAATGCCAGTTTTTTATGACTCACCTATAAGTCTGACATAAAGTTTTGGACCAAAATTTAACTCCCAAAAAAACTGACTTATAGGCAAGTATATACAGTAAACAAAAAGGAAAAATCCATTCACAAGAAAACTCCAGTGACTAAGGGCCTAGATGGCCCATGTACCCCCTCCTTACTAAATTTTTCATTTTATGATGTTGAAAGCTCTGAGCACAGATGGCCATTACAAATTTTGAAAAAAATTGGGCAAAATTTTTGGGACAGTGGCTGTGCTTATATAGAAGGGCCACAAAACAAAACTTACTAAAACATTTCACTATATTCAATACCTGACTGAACACTTACTTGCTTTGCCAACAAAGAGGGATAACTCTGCTAAAAAAAAAAATGATATCAAATTTATGATGATTTATTTTCTGTGACTTGGAAATGCTTAAGAGCAAAGTAGAAATTGGATATACATGGGGGAAAAAATGATGTACAGTATCTGCATTGCCCAAACAATTAATTTACATGCAGTGGTGCTGTCATTCAGGTGATAACAGACGTAATTCATAAATGCGCTATTCATTGTTTGCAGAATCACATGATTTCCAGACAGTCTTAGCCTTGATAATTAACAGTAATGGTATTTACAAATGCTTTATTTCTCCATCTCCAATGAACTCTTTTTTATTTAGAATTTTTCAAATTATTGCAATATTTCTCTTACTGGATTCCTCAATTCTGGTTGGTAGTTATATAGTATTTTCAGCTGTTTGCGCAAGCAGGTTTTTCACACCCCAGCTGTGTGACCTGTTTATAGCACAAAAACATCTGAATAACAGATAAAATACCTGATTTAAATCAGGACAATAATGAAAATATTTTTTTTTATATTACTGTCATTTTGTTATCTAGTGGAAGATTAATGTCCTTTGTCTGTTTTAAATAGCCAGTCAAGATTTAGTTCAAGAAATCTCTGTGTTAATTTTTCTTTGTATCAGTTGCATTGGGAGAATTTTTTCCTGTTGTAATGCAAATATATTCAGTAGGAATTATGTATCATGAGAATTTTTTGAAATTGAATTTTAAAATTTAAAAATTTGCAATCATTTTTATCTTAGCCTCTGGTGACTAAACTTGCATTGTTGATGCATTTACGGATGCAAACTACCAGACATGCTTCAGATGCTGGATCTGACCTACATTTTCCAGATCAGTGAACAGGTTTTAAGTGTTAGGAGCAGGTTCATTCTTAAGTAACCCTAAGCTTTATGGTGACCAAACTTGCTTGGATGATGCATCTAGGGATGCTTACTACCAGATTATTTGTTAAAGTGAGACTTTGCCTAACATTCAGTGAGGTGAGCTATGTAATCTATGATTACCTATATTTCATGTTGTGTCGTTTCAGGCTGATGTGTTTTCCTTTGGAATTATTGCCTGTGAAATAACTGCCAGAATAGATGCTGACCCCGACATTATGCCAAGGACACTGGTAAATATCACACTATACATATGTATAACAAATTAATACTGGCTCTCTCTTCTTCCTGTAAAGCAGATTGTCACTTTTCACAATAGAGATGTAGAGAAAGGCATACTAAAATTACCAGGATATTCTGTAGGCATTACAGGTGATCATAGGTTTACCATAATGGGTTTTATTTTTAGCCCAGTAATCATGTACAATGTATACTATATTTACAAATCAGTAAAATCTGCAAGAATGGTTGTCAGAGTATGCATAGTGTTGACTCACCCGTTTACTTCGGGTTACACCCAACTTTTCGACCCATAACCTGATTATTTTTTTATGACACGGCAGGTCATGCTTTTCATCCAATTTTTGGTGAACAACACGAAAATCTTGAGATTAACAGATCTGGTTTGTAAAGTATTTCACACATGTCATTTCCAGTTAACAACCCAAGCTTGGATCTAGGCAAACAATGTCGTTGGTTTATTTACAGTAGGCTTAGTATTGGTAAATTAGCATTGCAGGTGTAAACAATTATCTACTGATATATTCTGTATGTATAGTAGAGGAAATATCAAATGAGAACCCCAGAGGTCAAAGATCAAGGTCATACCATTTTGGGGCAGAGGTCCAAGAATCATGGTACCTCAATTTTTAATTTTAATTATTGCTACTGTAGAGGGAAATGTTTAAACTAAATTATTATAAATATATACAATGATTGGCATTGAATATTACAGAGATTTGGTGTTGACTACATAGCATTCTGTGAGAAAGTGGAGTATTGTCCCCTGGATTTCTTAAGACTGGCTTTCACCTGTTGTCAGGTAAGTTCTCGACTGTACATGAGAGAAGAAACCCCATCTGTAGGGGGCGGGGGACTTTCCAAAAAGTAAGGTTTTTTTTTTTTTAAAATTATAATTACATATAAAGTATTTAATGCAGTAATCTTTATGAAAATGGTTAATTCATGAATCTTAAAACTTTGTGGGAATGATAAATGGTCGATTTGTTAACATTGAATTCCTTGTAATTGCAATTCTTGTTTGTTTAGATTGAGCCAACTAAGAGGCCTACATTTTCAGACATTGTCACATCTCTAGAAAAAATTCAGAAATTACTGAAGGAAGATCCTGAAGATTTAAAATCAAGAAAAAGAAAAGGTTTGATTATCTACAGCAAATAAAACAGATTGATTTCCTCTCCAAGAACGGGTGTACATATTCTATAGTCCATGTTTATTAGAGCTGTGTTGATATAATGATACCATTGATTCTGTGTGAAGACGATATTGGTATCTATACGTGTAAAAATAGCGATATGGATCAGGATACAATTTTTTTTCTCTCTTTTTTTATTTACAGTTTGGGTTTAAAATCTGAAATGAATATTTAAAATATAAATATTAATTTGAAATACTTAATAAATAACCACTTCTGTTAAATATTTTTGTTTAACAACAGATATACAGTTACTATGAATAAATCTCTTGATCTTGATCAGCAAAAAATTTTGTTTAAAAGCTTCTAGATTTTTACTTATTCACAGCCCTACTTGATATCTTTTAAAGAACATCAAAATTATGTTTTTTTGTTTTGAGAATCATACTAAAAATATCTTTAAAATTTTGTTAAGTATACATGTATATTTCTTCAAAAAAATTATTTGTAGATTCTGGACGCCATGGTCACAAGAGGTCATTGTCTGCAGACAACATCTTGGCATCTTCAACAGATGATGTTTCACCTATGACCCCACAAGTGGTAGGGGAAGTGATGAGTAAGGATGACCCCTTTTATTCCCCAGTGGGAGCTAATCCATTCGCAGCATATGAGTCTTATGGGGGCAAGATTCTCGGATATTCTCGGAATGGAAAAGATTCCTATTACAGTTATGAACTTCCTTCCCCATCTGTTCCCCACACCCCTCCTGGAACCCCCATTATGACCCCTGAGGGGACCCTCAATAGGAAGAAACACAGCAAAGTTCAGCAGACTCAGTCCCTTCCCTCCTCTCCCATTTTATTACGTAAGGCAGCAGAACAATTTCATTTGGAGTCCTTACATGGCTCTAACTGTCGACGGAATTCTGCTATTAGTGGTAAAAGATATTCCCTTCATTTTCCGAAATCCAAAAGTGCATCTGTGATGCCGGAGTCATTGGCTAGTCGATTAGAAAGTGAATTTTACGATGAAGACTCTGTGAAATCTTCAAGCAATGAACAAAGAACAAGGAGATACCTTCGACAACTGAGTGCGGACACACCACACACTTACAATAGAGACAACAACATTGATTTAACAAATGGATTGGGGGACAGACGAAGTGAAAATCCTACTTATCAGAATGATGTCAGGGGTTATCGGATGTCTAGAAGTTCAACGGATTCATTTAACTCCATTGAAGAGCAGGTGATGGAGGTAGGAAATTCGAAAATGACATTCATCTCGGAGACGCTATCAGAGGATTCACAAACAACTCTCAGTTCTGATGGTGCAATACTAGAAACACATTTATAGTTTTATTGGGCTATTTTTTTTTCTCCTTTCTGTTGATGAGTGCTGCTTAATTTATGTATTACAATCCATTTCATTTTGGTGCCATTTCAGGTTAGCCAATATGTTATCAGTATTTATTTTGTTCTGTTTAATGCATTCAACATTTCTAACATTGTGTTTATCACCAGCAGTATCAGGTTTAAACTGTGATATGTAATAAACAATGACAATGTACATGTATATATATGTATTAATTATGAAATTTATGGTGACAATGGATTTTTCAAAATGTTTTAAACAGTAGTAACAAATGAAATTATGTAATGTACTCACATAAACTTTCTCATATGTTCATAAAAACAGGTTCAAAATGATTGAAAACTCATGTCAGGGATTGTTACAGATGGTTATTGCTTTGTGTATTACAAATTGTAGATTTCTTAGAGCTAAGATATTTTCTAGAGACACCTGTTATTATTTCTGCAGTACATTGTAATGACTGTTATGCCTCATTGTTGAATATAAAATCTCTTGATAAATATATTATGTACATGAAATAAGTAAGTATCTAAATAATAATAGAGAGGTTGAGATTTTAAACTTGTACGCATTCGTGTACGTAGGCACACACTTTGACGTACACGTCTGTTGAGATTTTAATGACGTGTAACATGAACGTGTATTACTAGACTGTAATCAGTGTCTCTGTTTCAACTATTTAGTAGTTTTGTGACATTAGTTTGACTTTAGTTGGTGAACAAAACATGGTTAAAATAAGTGTTCATGAAACTTAACATCCTAAATAATTAACAACAATAACAGTTTCATACATAAATTGAATAGCTTTTACTGAAAAAGCTACAAGTTTACACCTACGTGTAGATGCCTTTTTACAAGTTGTAGGAACGTGTAGAATACTTATCAACACCAAAACTGATGACGTAATGCGCAAGAAATTTAGGGAATTCTCCTACTAGACGTACCCGTACACGTACAAGATGAAATCTCAACCTCTCTATTAATAATAATTATACATGTAATAAGTGAATAACTATGCATGTCTGATATTTACATGTATTTAGTATCATTTGATAATCTATTACCTATTACCAGATGTTATACATAACATCTATCAAGTTGTGTGTGAATTTCATTTCTCTAGTCCATAATATTATAGCTGATATTTTTGTATTGTTCTAAAAACAATATTTCTACAAAATTTATGATGCAGAATTTCTTTACATCATTAAAGTGAAATCCCTAGTTAGAAGCATAATACAACTGTTAATTTTATAAGTGTTAAGACATAGTGCAGCTTTGACAGGTTCTTTGATATGAGACACAGGACGTGATATCTGTTTATTTCCTGCTCATTATCTGGTAGGACATTCAACCTCCTCTAATAATTATCTAGCCCACACCCAGTAGCCCCTTACCCCTTGTTGACTGTTTGTATGATGGTCCTGTAACCCCCCCCTTTCTGTTTTTGTCTACCTCTTCACTGCAATGTTTCCCCGGAAAGGGAGGAATATCAATGCCACCTCCTCAAAGGGATGTTGGTCACAAAAAAGGATTGATTATTATTAACTCTTAATGTATTTATAACAAATAATAGCTTGATTGCTTCCCATTTAAAACATTTTATTCATTGACATGACATTCTACCTTTGTGTTTGAGTCAAATTGAACTTGTTAATTTAAATAGTTGTTGTCGGGCAGAAGTTCTTGTTATGACAATGTTTTCCTCTTTTGAATAGATATGTTATAGTCAATGGTAGAATGGCAAAAACTAGTTATTTATCCACAATTATGAACATACAAAGCATGTTTCTTTGATATTTTATAAATACATTCAATGCGATACAATATTATAATGTAGTTTGTATGATGACAGACGATTTAGAGGTAATGCATTGTTCACTATGAAACTAGTGCTGAATTTTTTTGCAATATTTGATTCCTTGAGCTTGTTATTTGATCAAAAGGAAAAGTAGTTTATCAATGCTTTTATGAAGTTTACTTCTGTGTTACAATGTTTGATAATGTTTTAAACTTCTTTGGGATTGTGTATAACGTACATTAGCCTCCTTTGATATTCATTTTGAGAAGCATTTTGATTTTTCAATTGGAATGCTGTTTGTGACATGGCTTCAAGTAAAATGGTATTGGTTAGTTAATTGATATAAAACATAAGTTCAAGATTTTAATTGTTGAAATGGTAGGTAAGTGATAAGGCTTAAATTTTGCTTCTTTTTTTTGTTAGATAAATTATGTAGGGTCTTTGGTGGTTTAGTATAATTTTCAATGAGACTTCTCTTTTACTTTTTTTCAACTTTTAAAATTTCAAATACATGTACTGGTAGGTTTAATTAGTTCTTAATGTAGATATTTAGTTTTTTTTTTTTTTTTTTTTTTTTTTTGAATATTCAGGGAAATTAACTTACTTTATTAAACCAAAACAAGAGTAAGGTTTATTACAGGAAATGAATAGTAAGTATAACTTTGCATTTAAATCTTAAGTCTTTCATCCCATACATTCCTTTGTGAGTTGTTTTTTTTTCAGCTTGCTTATATAACATCTTTCTAAATGTGAACAAGTGCTATCTTTGGAGGAAATAACACAAGCATTTCTCTGATTATTCTGTTTTTAATAAAGTACATGTATCTTAAAAATTCATTAATCTGGAGAGGAATTCTACTGTGATTATGATGTAAGACATAATGTAATTAAGGTTAAATCTTTAGAAGTTAGATTGTCTTGTTTGGTTTAACAATACTGACTTAATGTTGTCAGACTGTTGATCATTATATAGACATAAAATTTGATATTATTTTAGTGTGTGCTTTAGCTGCAGGTGTAATAGTTAATATATATACAATGTATGTATACATTTTGTTTCAAATTATTGTCCTTGTTTTTTGTTCTACTGTTGTATGTGTTCATTGTTATCTTTTATAATTTCTCTCTGTGTGTATCTTGAAATTAACTTCTATTGTAAACATGGAAATTTACATGTAGATATGAATTAATTATGCAAAAGGAAACTTTTATATGTAAATGAAGATATTTCCTCCTCCCTTGAATATAAATTTCATATTGGTTAAACATGCTCCCCCCTCCCCCCCCCCCCCCCCCCCCCCAACCCTGGCAAAAAAGAATGTCCATGCAGAAGATTTTTTTCAGTGATTTGCATAATTATCAACACATGGAAATTTCCATCTTTACAGAATCGGATATAACAATGTAGTCGAATATGTTTATTGTATCGTATATGATAATGATGGGTTAAAACTAGTGTTTACTGACAAGGTTAACAAAGGTTTATTATTATGTGTGCTATATTATGTACAACAAGTATTTTTTTATGGTGCCAATATTTTGACCACCACTCCCCCCACCCTACTCCACCCCAAAAGTAATGATTCTAACCCCCCCTCCCCCCAACAAAATGTGTTCTTCCTTAATATAAGTAATATAAACATGTGAAATAGATAGTGGCATCCATAAAGAATCCCGTACATTTTGTGTTTTGTGCTATAAGTTCACATAACATTTGTGAAATGGGCATTTTAATTATTATAAATTATGCTTATTGTATTTTTTCCCTTCCAAAATGCATCTGCTCAATTTTATATTGTTAGATGTTACACTGAGCTGGCATGATCACGGAAAAAAAAATTAGAAATTAATCAACCCTTATGATTGTATGTAACCCAACCCCCTTTTTTTCCCTGGAATAATGGTTTACATTGAACTGAGGTCATAAGCGTAAACCATGTATCTAAATTTGTACAAGTTCATTTTCTGATAAAATGAACAGCTTCAGAAATATTTGTTGTGTATGAAATTGTAGATCTGATATGAGTATAGTTATTACATCAAGTTAGACACTTTTACCCCTGAAATTCATTAAAACTGCAATACACTGTAACATCAATTCTATTATAACATACTAGTATATATTTTATAATCATGTGTTCAATACACAATGCCAAATTGATTGTTAATTTTGTATGAGACTAAAAAATATCATTCAGTAATTGTTGTTTTTAAAAAGTTTATTAAAGATACATCTGTAATTCTTTTGTTTGCAATTTCTTGTTTTTTTTTAACTTTGCATACTCAGATGATTTTTTTTTTAAATATAGATTTTCATTATTCCAAAGATATTCAGATTGAAATCAAATTTAACTAAGATAATATGAGGAGCTAGACATAATATAACATGCAAATAAGGCAATAAACCTTGTTATGAGAAAGGCCTGTGGGCTACATAATTTACATGAGTTGCATTTATTTAGCAAACTGTCTACTGAATATTGAAACAGGACATCTCTGGTTTCATGGGACTCATCTGCCCCCCCCCCCCCCCAACCTTTTCCCTGTTTAAAAAATTAAACTGATTCCTTTAAATAAAGCATCACTGGTCCCTGTATTAAGGGCCACAGTAAGAGTATTTACTTAAGGAATAACTGTCTAGTTTTTTTGAGGGGGGTGGGGGTGGGGGTTATGATATGATCAAACAGTTTGCTCGTGATAATTTGCATAAATGCCAAAAGTGTCTATGCATAAAATTATTAAGAAGAAACTGATGATGAGTTATAAGAATTCAATAATTAGAAATCTTCTTGTGTTTTGGCCACAGAAACTGCTCAAGTCTGCAAGCCCTGCCCAGTGTATTACTAAGCCACACAGGGAGAGAAGTAATGTGATGAGCAATTGGCTTTTTGATGATAAAAAGCTTTTTCCTTATTAGCTCACCTGGCCAAGAAGGTTTTATATGATTATATATGTATACTAGATATTTAGGGATGTACTTGATTGAATGGAAGCTGCTTTCAGCAAAAGGTGCTAAATAGATTGCACAGCCAAATGTAATATGTTTAATAAGGATAGCAAGATCTACATTTAGCTACCTAGCAAGTTTCATAAAATTCTCTGCACGCTTGTTGGAGTTATGGCCCTTGAAATGTCACATTCTCCTGATTTTGCTAGTTTCAGCATTAATTTTCAAAAACGTTCTCTTCTGAAACTACTAGGCAGATTTTTTTCTAAGACTTTCATGTATTAATGTAAGATGTGTCCTCTATAAGGTCCGGTCATAGTAGCCTGGTGGTAGGGCGCTCACTTTATGATCGGATCGAGGCTTGGTTTTCGATTCTTTGCCACACCATGTCAAATCTAAAACTTAATATAGGTACATGTGACTTTTCCTTCACCAAGTGCCAGCATTAGAAGTGAAAGTCAGAGGTCTCTTGGATGAAACCTTAAAAAAATGAGGTCTAAATTTGAAGCCCTTCAATGGTATAATGGTGATGTCTCTATATGAGTGAACAATTCTTGAAAAAGGGACATTAAACAGCATACAATCAATCAATCCTCTACTAACAATCAACTTTTAATTTTGATCAAATCAAAAAGAATACTTTTGTTACTATAAATAGAACCTAAGGGCAATATGCAGTTTTTAGCTCACCTGAGTCAAAGGCTCAGATGAGCTTTTCTGATCAAAAAGTGTCGTCTGTAAACTTTTCACATTTTTTACTTTTTTTCAAAAACCACAGGGCCAATTTAAACCAAATTTACCACAAAGCATCCTTGAGTA